AAAAAAAAAAAAAAAAAAGGAAAAGAAAGAAAAAGACAAGTGGAGCAAGCAACATTCCCAACGGCTAGATAGATAGACTCCAGATAATAGACTAAGTAGGCGGGAAAACGTATCCGTGTCTTATTTCGGAAATAGGTTTAGATTCCATCGTAGAGTTTTACTTTGCACCTATTTAGTCTAATTAGTGTGTCTGAGTCACTGTTTAGGTAGGACTAGTGCCTAATTGGAACTGGATTCCTTCAACGGAGTATTACCTTAAGTAGACATGGCAATGCTTCAGCGTTGAAGACGGTTGGGGTAGAAGAGAGTACGTAGTAGTGTAGTGGTCTGTCGTGTGAGATATTACCTATTTAGGTAGGTGAGAAGGGATCACGCCTTTACTTGTTAGTCTGTTGTCAATCGACTAGTGGAGAATAAAGAGAGACGTAGATGCTGGGAGCATCCTACATAGATTAGAGTGAGACAGATCTGTCTGGTCTGACCTGAGGCGGAAAGAGAGGGAGGGAAGGAGGGAGGGAGGAGTCGCGTGAGAACTTCCCTTTCCTAGATGGACCAATACCCCTAGGAGATATGTGAACGTGATGCATGCAGGCAGCCTTAGACAGCAGTTACAGATGGACCGGAACTAATATAGTGTGAGCAGTGTTATATTACGACGGGATATGTGTCTAATGGTTAGTTGCATCGGGGAGATTCGGCCGGAGCTTACTAGTAGTTAGTCTCTTGAGTATTCCGTAGAAGATGTCCATCTACTATCCTACATGGGCGTCAATGCCTTATCTAGTTACTGGATGTCAAATTCCCAACTAAACAAGAATGAGAGTATCCTACCCTTATAACTCCATCCCTACACACAAACTCCAGGAGAAACAAAAGAAAACTGCATAAAAAAACCAAACAGAAACCAAATCTATCTCCCTACCTACTTAGTATAGTGTAAGGCAATAAATAAAATAAACTGGTCCAAGCTCCCCCAACCAATCCCATCCCCAGGATCACCCACGCGCACATCCCAAATAAAATTAGCCTAAAGTCAAAAACCCACGAGTCTACTACTTATGTCTCCACCACCCGTCACAACGCCAAAACTTCGGTAAATGTTACCGCTGGCGTTAACTTACCACTGCATGCCGCATACCTGCTTGAATTTTGCAATACCACATACCAGATACCACTAAAACCATTTAGTGTGTGTGTATGTATATGCCGACCCATAGATTCAATCATTAGTTAGCTACGTATGTACTACTGCAGCCCACAAAAAAGAAGCAAACTAAGCAACAACGCAGCGGGGCCCACGGAACCAGCATTGACGGGCAATTCATTCCCACCATCGAGTTTTCTCCAGGGGAGCACGTGCCTGCTTGCCTGTTTCGTAGAGGGCAGAGAAAGACTACTTACTCCCTGCACTGGAGTAGATCCACACCCCACTGTCTTGACATGTGTCTGTCTGTCTTGTCTAGCTGACTGGTCAGGGTGGTTGGGGGCAAAATCAGGAGACGTGGGGTTGAAAGACAACGGAGTATTCTAGACCGGAATCTGCCCTTTTTTTCGTTGAAGTTTGTTACTCTACCATGTGATGGTATTCTGTAGGTAAATTGTTCATAATTGCTACTAGATGGATTCGCACACCGGGAAAGTATCGAGAAAGAAGGGAATTGCTTATCTTGCCTAGGTGTCTACTAGATGAATTCATGCACAGTGGTTAGTGACTACTGCAGCAGGTGCAGTAGATAGATAGAAGTTCAGCTGAGCAGGGTATTCTTCGGTGAAAGTGAGTGACTGGCTCGCCAAGCAATCAGCTCGGCATTCAACCCTCATCATTATTACTTCTTCACTTCAGGTGGATAAAAAAAAAGGAAACTAAGCTAAGCTAAGTGCGTATCTACGTATTCCACAAAACTAGTAGATCAACCAACCAATTAAATTCACAGAAAATATCACATTGCTTGTCTAAATGGTATGTAAGTGAGTAGTGGGTAATAATCATGAGACATCGTATCGAGGTATCTATCTAACAAAAATCGAATCGAAACTCCAGTAAAAACTGTTGCGCTGCTAGAAACTCCCACCACTGCCACTACTGCTACTGCCAGCGTAAGTACAGTCCCGGAAAAATCCCTCGATGCGCCGTGACATCTTCGCCGGGTTGGAGTACATCGGGAAGTGTCCACTCGTGGGGATCTGCGCCAGCTCGACCCCTTTCGTCTCTAATTGACTCAGAAATGACACTTCGCGGTTCTGGTCCCCGAACAAGTACATGAGTGGGCAGGATAATCGGAGGAAGCGTCCTAGGAGGTTCTTCCATGAGAGCTCGACGGTGGATGTGACGATGGGTCGGACGGCTTCGGGGCGCACGCGGGAGGGTAGTAATGAGGCGTAGAGAGCGTGTGAGTAGCCTGGGGTGGAGTGGACGTGGGCAATGAGTTTCTGGAGGTCGTCTTCGGGTGTGGAGGAGGGGGAAGATTTGACGAGGTCGGTGTAAAGAGAGCGAGGGAAGAAGCAGTTCTCTGGCGAGAGGGTGCCTTCGATGTTGATGAAGGCGAGCAGTTGGTATTGTGTGGGGGGAAGAGAGGCGGCGAGCATGAGGCCTGTCAGAGCGCCGGTGGAGTGCCCGATCAGATAGAAGGTGGTGATGTGGAATTGCTTGAGCACAGCTTCGGCGGTGGCCACGAGGAAGGTGATGGTCAGATCGCTGCTGGGACCATGGGATTCAGAGGCACCGCAGCCCGGTGCATCGTAGGCGATCAAGGTGTGGTCTCGTAGAGAAGGAAGGTAGACCAGATCGTGAAGATCTTCTTTGCAAGAGCCAAATCCGTGGAGGAAGAGGATGGCGGGTTTCGGCCCGGGGCGATAGAGGGTGGAGAGCTTGAGGGGATGGTCATTGACCGTCAGAGAGAGGGTCGAGAAAGTGGGAGGTGGACTGTCGAGGATCATCATGAAAGATATGTGCAAGTAGTATTGATATCAAGGAGATTCTAGGTTTGCGCAAGGACTCAAAAGGACTATAAAAGGTAGGGCAGGGCGATAGTACTTACTCTTTATATGTACTTTCAGGTGAACCCTGGATGGCACCCCTGGGTTTATTCGTGTAGAGCCCAGCCGAACAGGTCGCATGGTGCTAAAGCGCCCAAAGATGACGAGTGGATCTATCAGCACCCGATTAGCGCATCGACTAACTGTAACTTCGGTTCTGAGTCACAGCCTGTCATTCCACAAAGGAAAGAGCCATACAGAGCACCGAAGACGCGGACGTGGTGAACAATCCGTAATGGATATGACAAGTGGGAACTGAATAGCTTCACTCCGGTTCGACTGGCGGCAAGTGGGGGCGTGCAAATGGTCCGTGGCAAGGGACGTCCGGCAGATTCAGTGCTAACTCCTACTGGAGATAGTACAAAGTAAGTAGGCTGTATGCCTAAAGGCGCGATCATGATTATTTTTTCCAAATCATTTATTCCTGACGCGGCTGAGCCAGCCGTCCTTCAGCTGAAATTTATCTCATCGAAGCTAGTGATGGCATGCAATTAGTCCGAGTGATATCTCACACATTCACACTATGTACATTCATGTCCCTTGTCTATTATTGCCAGAAATGGTGTGCTCCTCTGATTCCTCCGATCCTGTCCGATGCGCTCCGAGGCATAGTTCAGATCTGCCCCTCTACCACGGACGCCGTCGATATGCACCTTTTCCCATTCGCAAAATGCATCCCATTGCCCCTGCGCCCCAAAATCGCCGCCCAAGGGAAAATTTTTCTAGCCGGACAAGTGCCACAGTGCGTGCAATATATATGTGATGTTCCAGAATCTCCATAGACCATGTGGCTCATGCATAATACAGCCCACATATAGCCCAAGGAAAGAAAAAATATGCAAATCGTCCCCCGATTCTTCCATGTACGATGTATGTAAGGTTCAGAGGTTAGAAACACCACAACACCAAACAGATATGATAGAGTCATTATTGAAATAAATATAAAGAGCCAATGTGCAATATGTATCCAAAAGAAGAGGGGTCTATAGACAGAATGAAAAGAACCAGCTCTCATCTCACACCTCGCCCCAGCCTCCCAGGCCGGCTGCAACGGGCGCCACAGCACTCCCGCTGTCCACGCTGCCCCCAATGTCCCAGTAATTGCGACTGGAACCGGTAAGCGTCCGGCGGCTGGAAATGGCAGACAGCTTGGCACTCTGGCTGGCACAGCTAGAACTGGGGCGACGGTAATGCGGACGCATGATGGGCGACGACACCCCGGTTGGTCCGGAGTGATGCGAGTACTGCGATTGCCGGCGAATCTGCGCCTGAGAGCGCGAATGCGCTCGGGCAACGAGCGGATGGTGCTGCCGGATGATTGCCGCGCGGCGAGATGCATCTTGCGGGGCTCTGCGGGGGGTGCTGTGATAAGGGTCGTTGTTGCTGCCCCGGTGGGTAAATCGGTTCCGCAGGTACCGAAAGACCATCCGAACATCCAGCTCTCGCTCCCAATACTCCTTCTCCTGTTGGGCCCGTGCCGATTCAGCCAACGGCTCAGCCGCGGAATTGCTGGCTGAACGATGTACGAAATCGTCATCCTCGATGCCCCATTGCGCCGCATGTTCTCGACTACTGGGATCGCCAAGAGTAGGCGAAAAGTGTGGAGAGAGGACCGATTCGGTGTTCATGGTGGACTCCAGATTGGTAGGACCCACCGAAGCAGAAGGAGCGTCGCCCTCTTCTGGCACGCGATCGAGAGGTATGCCAGCATACTGATTCGGGATCTCTCTGGACATGTTCAGATAGGTCGTAAATGCACCGGGATGTTCGCACAGCTGGTTGACGAGAATCCCCAGCTCGTGGGCGATGCGTTGCAGCACTTTACTCTGCCAAATAGGATGGTCTTCCGGCACGGAGTCCAGCTCCTGGTTGAGTGCCTCGATGTTCGATGCATATTCCCTCGCTGAAATCGGCTCGTCATCTTCAGTGGAGGGCAATGATTCCCCAAAAATCACCGATAGCAGCGAATCGTCGATCCCGATGAGGTCGCGGATGACCTTGCGGGTTATTCGCTGCAACAGAGACTCGTCCCCGTCTTCTTCTTGATTTGCCGTCGAAGCAGTCTCTGACTCCTTGGGGGTCTCAAGGACCGCATCTGGAACGTCCGAAACCGTCGGGTAAGACACAACGGGGTCAGTTATGCCACTGGCACGACTATCACGCCGTCTGCGCGTTGCTTTCTCGATCTCCTGTAACAATACCCGGCTCTGTTCCATTCTCCATTTCTCAATGCGCTGCCATCGTTCTCTCTCCATGTCCGCCTCTTCTTCATTTGCGACCATGTCTAACTGACGCTGGACACTTGAGCGACGACGTGGCTGTAGGTCGGGCCTCCGATTGGGGTTGTACTGTTCGTGCTGCCACAACTGATTTTGCACGACCTGGCTAGAGGCCTGAAAACTCCCCAGTCCATCATGAGCCGGGAGAACCGCAGGAGCCCCTTGGTCTTCTTGGACCAAAGACGGGGCTCGAAAGGCGTGAAGCCCATCGTCTAGACTATCTAGTTCCGTCCCATCATCGTCCAACGGCTCATCGAGAGCATCATCCACGCTCTCGCTTTCTGGGCCGATCGCGGATCGAGTTGCCGTGCCAAACGAGCCAAAATCACTTAAGCGGGAGACGCCTTGTGTTCGTGGGCTGCGATCAGTAGAGGTGGTATGCGTGCGGGCGATGGTGGAGGGTTGTTGGGTCGGCGAGAAGAGCACCCATTCTGTAGCTTCATTCTCCGGTAGTAGCGAGAGAGGAGAGGTGATATCGGGGGCGGGGGAAGGGAGGGAGTTGGAATAGGAAGGGCGTCGACGGGGGACTTGGGGGGGTAGACGAAACGCCATGGGTTGACTTGGCAGATGGGCGATAGCAGCAAGATGATCCGAAGTGGCTGGCGTTGGTTGGGAGGGAGAGGGGAGGGAGGGACAGGCAGATAGCGAGATAAGAACAGTTTATCGATCGCGCGGTGGATCTTCCCCGCGTGACCGTGTTCGGAACTGAGGAGATGGGACCAGATGGCGAGGAGGCAAGGGAGGGAAAGGCTATATAGCCACAAGCAAAGCCCAAATGTCACAAAAGTTGGACAGTCAGGCAGAATAGGCGTCTCGAGACCTGCAGGGGGAGAAAAAGTAAAGATGTCCAGAAAGGTCCGATAGCGGTGATGCTGACGCGAGGGCCTCGCGCTCGCTGATGAGTCGGAGATGACGTGGGAGGGAGGAGATAAGGCGAAGGTTCAAGCCAGCAAGAAGTGCTCCATGGTCCCTCGGAGGGGTTGGCAGGAAATGGTTCCCCTCTTTAATGAAGGAGTAGTTTGAAAAGTGCTAACGGTAGACTATGGTAGACAAGAAGAACAAGTCAACCGGACGAAATGAACCCGGATGATGCCAGTCACCAGACCGGGTCGGTGGGTGGATAGTTGCAGGATTGTCTCTTTCTCTCTCTCTCTGAAACAAAACGAGGAAAAAGTTTAAATCCATCGACGGGACAATCTTATCCACAGTTCCAAGTCAGCCCAAGGATTTACCCTCCTAATTCTAGCTTTGTCTTTGTCTTTGTCTGCTTTAAAAAGGGAAAAGAAAGCCTTTTCATAATAGTCTTGTCAATAGCGTCCCCAACCAACCATCTAAACTACAGCCCCATAGATACATACATACGGTAGAGACAAACCTGGGTGACAAAAAGGAGGAGGTGACGCTGACTATCGAATCCGATCAACTGCATCGCGAGGATCGGCTGATCGACGCCCGCCTGTGGGATCTGTCGAGTCTCGATATCACCACTCACTGCTGCTGCTAAGTACCAACCAAGTGCGAAGTACTTTCCCTGGAAGTTCTTCTACTGCTGCCAACTCAACCCACCGACATGGTGAGGTGCTTCGTACCTCGCGGTGTGCATCTCTCCTGATTTGACTAGCTTCTCCACAAAAGGTCAACCCATCATGGCATCAGCCAGTGTTGATCACCCCATCGCGCTCCACTGGCTCTGATCTCAATGACATGTCATCCTCCGTGTTTGCCTGCATGGCCCAAGGCGAGGCGAGCCTGGCTGTCAGGGGCTCTCACTCACTCCAGTCCTCGACTGCTACCCGCTCTTTCAGCTGTGGCGTTCGTCTACGGAGTAGTACTGGGTAGTTCTCAGCCCCTCGATCTTCCCTGCTTGTGCAGTCTTACATGGCTTCAATACTCTATCCCCATTCTATGCTGATATGGCTGGTGGTGAATTGTAGATTGTTTCAATCTTAGTTCTCATCTAATATTCGAAGGTATGGTTAGGATAAAGACGCCGGACGCCATATACTACCACTAGTAGTGTAGGTTGTGCAACTCTCCGCAGGCCTATCTGGGATGGATAGTCCATGGTCTACGGCCAAGTTTATTGGGTCCACGGAGTAGAAACCATACTACCAACAAGACTGTACACTAGTAGTCTATTATGGATATTTGTCAAGTCAACAAATATCAATTCAACATCTTACAAAGGGACTACTAACAGATGGACGTTTGTTCAACAGTGTTACGACTAGAACTTTTTCTAATCCCTTGGGTCAATCGTAGCACAGATATGATATCATTCCGGACCCCATGAAATCAATTTAAAAGCAAAACAGGCGACCATCTGGTTGTCATAACTGAAAGCTGACAGAACTACGCCGCACTACTGTGGGAAATCGTCCTACGATATCATACTACTGTGCAACCATGCAAGCCGAGGAAATCCGCGTTAAATAACTCCGCCCCATACGGTGACTAAATGACATCAAGGATAACAAACAGGACATGAAAAGTGGGAATAGTTCAATAAATCTTTTTTTCGTGTCCTAAAGCGCTAAACATCCATCTAAGCCTGAGAAACGTTCTCGTAGGCGTCGGGGAAACGCTTCATGTTCTCCTCGATGAGACCGTGGCCACGCAGGAACTGGACGTAGGCACCATCCTGCTTGAGCTTGCCCTCCTGGCGGAGCTGGATGTAGTCCTCGCGGCGGACGGGAGTGAAACCCCAGTTCTTGGAGACGATGATCTTTTGGCGACCGGGGAACTTGTACATGGAGCGGCGGAGAGCCTCGATGGCAGCAGCACGGTTGGTGTCACGGGTGCGGACGGACAGAATGATCTGGCCAATGTTCACACGGGCAACGGTACCCTGGGGCTTACCGAAGGCACCACGCATACCGGTCTGGAGACGATCGGCACCGGCGCAAGACAACATCTTGTTGATACGGATGACGTGGAAGGGGTGCACACGGACACGGAGGTGGAAACCTTCCTTACCGGCGATCTTCACAAGGTACCTGAACATCTGTGTTAGTACATGAGGGCTGGGCGTAGTGGAATCGGCGGGTCGGCATACTTGTTGGCACAGATACGGGCGGCTTCGAGGGCCTCGGAGGACAGCTGCTCGTACTCGTTGGAGACGAGGTGAACGCAAAGAGGGAAGTCATCGACGTTGGCCTTCTTACGTCCCAGATCGAAGATACGGATCTTGGGGTCGGGAACACCACGGTTGAACCGGGACTTAGGGTAGGGCTGTCATTCGAGAATCATGTCAGTATTCATATCCCATCCTTGTCTGGTACATCTTTCTTTCTCCCATCGTCGGGCAAGACATGATATCCATCCTGAGCATCTCTCCGTAGCGCGTATCGTCGTTGGTGTTGGTTGACAAATGCTCCCCACAAGACAAAATCCCGTCCAAAAAAAAATCCACAAAAACGCACAAAAATCCATCAAACGGTCGAACGCACCTTGTTCTTGCAGTAGCGGTAACATCTCGCGGGACGACGGGCCATCTTGACTGCTGGAAATGGGGCGGCTGCACTTCCTGCGAACGGTGAGGTTGTCGAAAAAGGTGGTGTCGGGAGGCGAAAGGGAAGGGGGATTATGGGCGCAGGCACTTTCCACGTTGATTTCCAAGCAAGCGCCCGCTACCGAGTGGCACAGCCCTAAACCCTACCCTCTCCGCCAATCACATTCTGTAGCCGCTATGACGCATTTGTAAGACTACGGCAACTCCGACATTCTTGTTCAGACTGATATATCAGTTCTTTCTAAGCCGTGAATGAAACATGTTTTAGTTACTGCGGAATGGAATATGATGACTTTTCGCTGCTTTATAATTATCTTAATGCCTGACTTTTAATTACGTGACTCATAAAGTGGAGTTGAGCTGCCACTCCTCCCTCCGGTTCTTTAGTGATGCGACCGTGCTATCTTCCAGATCACTCCTACAGTCTTATCCTACAGCGTTTAGAAACGAAACCCAATATAGATGTAAAGTTCATTGTCATTATCTAAATCGTGCCGTGACGTTGTGCATCATGGCATACCGCCGTTCAGACATAACATGAATTCATTGACTAGGCTTTACACCTACTGGCTGGACAGGATGTCGGAGTCACCAGCATCGAGGATAGCCATGGTGGAGGTGCGGAAGAGCTTACCGCAGGCGGTACCGAGCTCGATCTGTTCACCACAATGTTAGCGTTTACTCCAGTTTTACGTTGCGATCACTACGGAAGTAGTCTATCCAGAACTAGGTCCGGATCCCACTCCATAGAGATGCCAATGATCTGATCGCAGTCACTCACGTTGTTGCCGGAGAAGTGGTGGACGGGGGCCTTGGCGAGCATGGCGTAGTACTCGAGCTCACTCTTGCGGAGAGGAGGAGTGTTGGCGGCGATGATGACCAGCTTGGCCTTGCCGGACTGTTGACGTTATTAGTCGACCATTCATGGATGTTCTGCACGGCTATTGCCTGAAATATCCGGTATACTCACGCGGAGGGTCTTGATGGTGGACTTGTAGCCGAGGGTGACTAGATGGGCACGATTAGAGACTGTCTAAAATATCTGAACTGGCACCTTCTGGTATAACATACCCTTTCCGGACTTCATCACAAGCGCCAGGCGCGAGTTGATGGTGTCACCGGTCTTCTTGCTCTTGGGGGCCATCGTTACGCTGAAGACTAAACTTCTGCATGATCAATTTTAATCAGCATTTGTTCACTCCGCTATTTCAGAGCCCACTACTGAATGCTACCGCTTTTTTGGCCATGACAATAAATATTTTTTGAACATGATCAAAATAACGGGCAATCAGCCGTGGCTTGCGGGAGAATACCACATACCTAAAGGTTTAATGTGGTTGTTGAGAGAAGTGCGCTCCGGCCTCGTCTTTTGAGATTGGGATGGTAAAAGAAAACCTATCACCCACTCTTTTTTTGTGGGTTTGACGAATGTCGGCCGGCAATTCCTCCGTTCCGCGGCGGCTGACTCATCTGCCCGCTTCCAAGGTCGTAAATCACGTGAAATATTTTGAACCAGTGCAGCAATGGGCGGTGAGGGTAGTTGCCTGCGGCCTTGGGTTAGGCCGGTTCTTTCCTCTCTGCTAAGCTACATGTGCACGTGAAGGAGGCACGGCGTTTAGTTCATTATCGTTCTAAATGTCTTATTATCTTCGTACATGACTTTTTTAAGGTTGACACTCAAGTCTTTATTTCTAATGGCTTCGAATGGCCATTCGCAATTGGAAGTATACAGTTCTCGCTGTAGGAAGAAGCCGATCTACTGCGTAGACTTACTTCTTGATGAACGTCGATAGCAGAGGTCGCCGTATGAGATACCATATCTCTGAGGACCCCTAGATACTTAGTCTTATTTTACTATTCTCATATATATGGATTCGGAGTATCTTCTGATGGGTACCTCATGGACCCGGATATATTCTCTAACTCCTACGCCAACACTAAGTGTTGGCAACATCCCTCACTTCTTTTCTCACTCACCAGCATAGTGCAGGACTGCCTTTCGCTTCCATAGATTATCAACCCCTGACTACTTATGTCATTCATGAGATTGATCTGAATCCGTTGCCCGGACTGCAGCCCCGGACGTCAGTAAGGAGCCAATTCCCACGTGGTGGGGATCTAAGACCCTATATCTGTTGTTCCTAGAAACCAATATTCGCAGTCTCTGCAGAACACGATGATAGCTGACCTGTTCATATGACTGGCCGCTGTCATATACCGAAATAAGGAGCACTAACCTTTGGAAAGCTGCTGTAGATGAGAATATATTGCGCATGTATATTGCTGCTTAGATTCTGAGCCGTTGATTTCAAATTGTTGATTGGAACCGGGGAGAGTCGGGGGTGATGCTGGCTCTTGCGTTCTAGGCCTGCCATTTCCCTGATGATTTGGCTCCTAGTATTGATTCATCAGATATGTAGTAAGTCCCAGTATGACCATGGGCACGCTGATTACGAAGCTGCTTTGTGAGGTAAATATATAGGTTATATGCATCATTGCATAGCTTCCTATCAGCTGAAGCTACATAGTCCGAGCCACTTCATACCATGATGAATGTTTCGTTTGTATTACCTATTTGTTGATTGGTGTGGAGCCAGACATAGGGGTCCAGCTGTGCTATACGTGAGAAGCCATATTAACGTGGCATGTAGCCACTTGCACTTTATGAACGTTATTATTATTGACCCAATCATAGGTCTATCAGGACATTGCTTTACAGCGCGGTCGGTCAGGCAATATGCGTTGATACACAATGACCAGGGTGGGTTTTCAGGGGTTGTGGAATAGTATACTAGTATTTGGAGTACCCTCTTGATATATACTAGCCAACAGAAGCATGCTAGGCCTGTCACGTCACGGAGCAGATTATTTAAAAGGAGTATTGACAAGCAATAGCGAACGTAGTGTGCATTACGAAACAGACAATTACTTTAATTTTACTTTGTCTGCTGTCACAAGACCGGTCTGTTCGATATGTATCTATTGGGTATCCTTTTAGAGAAACCTTATACCACGCCCCCTACTATGCCTAGGCCAAATCGTATGGGAGTACAAGAATAACAACTACACCCTTACAATTCAGCTTCAAACAAACCTCAAGTGCTGCATCTTGTAGTCCAGGTAACTGTATTTGATACCTGCAGAGTGAAGAGCCTTACATAAGTGGCCCGGAGACAGCCCTGCTGATCTCGATGCATGGCCGGAACCGTCACTACGGACGTGGCGCAGGATGTACAGTAACTTTTGTCCGGCCCCCCTTCCCTGAGGGCGGACGTAGGTGATTGGATGGTAGGGGTGATTGCGACGATGGGATTACGATGGTCGACTCAGCTTAAGACTGACAGATGGCTGGACCCTGTGCGCCGCAAGGAACCCCAAGGGAGGGTTGGTGAGAAATTACTATCTTTAACGTTGCCATGTGTTGGCTCCGTGTTGTCGTCCAGGTGAGGGGGCCCCAGTTGGATTGTTTGGTATTGGTGTTGCCTTGTCGCCGTAGTTGGAGTTGGCATTGCCACTTTCCAGGCGAGCCACGATGACAGATGGTATGAGGAATGAATAAGTCAGTCATGAGTGAGTGACTGAGTTATACAAAGCACACATAGTCCGGCGTTAGTCATTAAAACGGTGATGAAATAGGGGAGAAGGGCTATGTAACGTTGGTAATCATTAATACCTCACAGACTCATAATCAGTTGCCCCGGAGCGGAGAGATCCCCAGGCCAACAGGGGCCCAACTGGTAACGTACGGTAAGTTGGGGCCTTAGACTCTGCCTTAGACTGCCAAATACGGCCGTTCCCATACATACTCCCGTGGACATCGTGCCCATCAACCCAATCGAACAATTAATGCGCCCACCTGTTCCCATTATTATTCCTTTTGCTTTCCCACCCCTTCAAAGCTTTTTCTCTTTCTTTTGCATGTTTGTCGGATTCATCCCTAACTTGCGATCGTATCCCCTCGATTTCTCCCCCCAGTCGTTTACTTAAATACTACCCTCCCCCAATATCCTTGCTTGGTGCTTCTGGAAAGAGGCTAGCCGTGGCCAGCCATTCTGAACCATCCCCCACCGAGATAGTAGGTCACTTAGTGTGCCCACTGTGTTTTGACCGCTACAACCTCTCGGCCGCTGTCCCTTAAATTTATCGACTTAATTTCCCGGCTGTTTCATACCAGTTTTAAAGCCCCAGAGGCCTTTCTTCTCCTTCCCCTTTCTGGGCCGCTTTGCGTCTTCTGGAATCATTCTACGTTTCTGGTGTGAACCCCATTGTCGGTAATCATGTCGGCGACGCCTCGCAAGCCCAGTATCCCGGGCAATTCCAACAGAAATTCGACTGCAGAAAGTCACACAGCCAGCGGCACTGCATCGCGAACGCACACCCGATCTCCCAGTGCTTCGACAAATGGCGTCACTCGTTCCCCCTCCCTCCGTGCTTCGACTCCGGTCTCTGCGCGGGCTGCGGCTCGGAAACCCGGTCGCTCCAACCTGAGCACATCCAGTGCCCCCAAAGTTACGCCCAATCAATCCGACGAAGAGGCCCGGGCCCAGACCGCTGCACTCATTGATGACCTCAAGGAGCAGTTGCAAAAGGCGGAGACCGCCTCGGAGCAGTATCGCAAGCAGTTGGGTGTCCTTCAAATGCGCCTCGATGAGGCGGTGAGCGAGCAAGGCAAGTTGGAGGACCAGAGCCATGAGAGGGATAGCAAGATTGAAGCCCTGAATGGTGAGATCCGTGACCATGTTCGCCAGATTCGCGACCTCGAACAGGCACACGAACTGGAACGCAATGCCATGCTGCAGGAGAAGGAACAACAGGCGAGTCGTGAGGAAGAGATGCAGGCTACCATTCAGCGTCTGAAGGAGTCGCTGGCTCAGAAGGAGCGGGCAAATGCTGCGGATTCGGATAAAAGTGTGTCTCGCTCATGTAAGAAGATCATTTCTTCTTCTCCTTTGTCCTCTTCTAGTGTGAAACCTGCTAACATGCCCCTTATAGCCAGTTTCCGCAACCGGGCATCACCGGATGTTGATGGTCAATTCGCGCCCTCTTCCCAGATTGAGAGAAGCCCTTCCCGCAATAACTCGAAGCTGCTTTTGCAGAAGGATAAGTTGATCGAGTCTCTTCGGCTGGAGCTGGCTGAGTCCCAGATCAAGCTTGTCGAGATGGAGAACAAGGGCGGTGGCAGACAGCGGGAGCTGGAGAAGGAGCTTCTGGAAGCTCGCATGGCGAATGCCCGCTTGATGGAGGATAATGAGAGCTACCAATTACTCCTCAGTGAGAGAACCCTCAATGGTGATTTCACAAAGGGTGACTTCATGCGGGAAGTTCACCCGGACACTGCCGAGGATGTCAAGGAGTCTGGCAGTGGCTTGGGTTCGTTGGCTGACGAGCTAGAATCCGTCGATGCTCGAGCAGAGACAGACAACACCCGCAAGCTGGAGACGGAGATCAAGGCGCTGAAGGACCAGAACAAGGCCCTTACCCTTTATATCGAGCGGATCATCAGCCGCCTCCTGCAGCATGATGGTTTCGAGACCATCCTTGACAAGAATGAAAACGATCCCCCGGCCAAGCCGATGCCTGCGCACAGCAACAAAGAGCTTCCGCCAACTCCCCCTGAGAAGGATGACGCGCAGCAGACCTTCCTCCAGCGCGCCAAGTCGGTCGTTGCAGGCCCGAACCAGAACCCTCCTCGGCCTTCGACCCAGCCGCGGTCACGCCCCACGAGCTATATGCCTCCACCCACCAGTGTGCCGACCGCTCACGAGAACCCACAGACAGCTCCTAGCATCCCCCTTCGTGCTGGATCAATTCGCGGTCACCGCCGGACAAGGTCTGAACAAACGGACGTTGGGGCAGCATCCGTCGTGGGTCAGATGTATCGGGGACGCAACTCGGGTGGGCCGATCAGCCCTACTCTCATGGGACCTGGAAATCGCCAAAGCGCATTTTCTTCAGCGAGTATCATGTCGAGTATGAGTACCGGTGGCCGTGCGCCTTCACTCTCCAGTCAGCCTGAGCACAGCCGTTTGAGCAGCTCGGATAGTGTCACGAGCGACCCCGCTGGTGATACGGCATCTACCGGTGCAACCTCCAGCTCTCCCCGTTCTAGCACCGGCATGACCAACTACACTGGAGCTGTCATGACCCAGAACAAACTGCGTCCCCTGCGCCTAGTCAGCGAGACTAAGCTGGCCGAGGAAGAAGAAGCTGCCCGCAAGAAGGCTAACCGAGGCAGTTGGATCCCCTGGTTCAACCGTCCCAACTCTAGCGAGGCCACCCAGCCTTCGACTTGAGCGCATCAGTCTCGTGGAAAAATGTGGGGTAAAACCACCCGCCTGCAAATAGGGACATATTCTGTGCTTTGTGTTATTCACGGTTAATCTGCATGATCTTTTAAAACCCTTGATGGCGGGTTGTTGACCGCTACGGTTAAACTCTTACCATTCTTCTTCGGTGTTGATCATCATACTGGTGTTGAGCCCATTATGGCCCAGTTTGCCCCTTTCGAGCATCTGGCACTTTTTTCGCGTCCATTTATTTTGCTTTGATTGAATTTTGGAAATGTGATAGACGACCACATTGAAACGTTGTGATGATGCCTGACATGGGTACTGCTTGGACACTCCTTTTACTCCCTCCACAGACTACTCTTGGACGCGACGAATCTGCTTTGCTTGTTTATGCCCCTCCTTATATGATGAACATACCTATGGTCTATACCTCGATCCCCGAGTGAAATTGTCTTGTGTTTTTTTGTCGTTTAATGATGTTGTCTAGACCTTTGTATTATAGAGCCAGTAAGTAAATATGAATCTATAACCAACATAGTACCTAGATGTATGGAAATCATCAAAATGAAGCAAAAGATATACAAATGGACTTCTCCAACAATTTCACTTCAATAAGTCGTGGGGTTGAAACAAAAGACGTGGTTGATGTCCTGTATACCCCGGAACAAAGTTCGAGCGGCGGCCGGATTGCGGCCAGCTTGACGGTAAATAGTTGGAGTCCCATTGTTGCCCACGGAGCTGTCACCACGTTAACCAAACCGATATTCCTGAACCATTGCCCACCATGCCTGGCTCTCTCTCGCTTTTCTCCGTCAATGCCGTCCTTCTCATGTCGGCCGACGATGGCTCTCGCATCTTCACCAAGTACTACTCCCCTCCTCACCCCCCGGCCGGTGCTGCCCCCAACTCGACCGATTACCCCGGAGCGAACCCCTACCCTACCGTGAAAGAGCAGAAGGCATTCGAACAAGGCCTCCTCGAAAAGACCAACAAGCAGACCAGCGATGTGATCCTCTACGATAACCGGATAGTTGTCTTCAAGATGGAGAGCGATGTGATGCTCTATGTGGTGGGAAGCGCCGACGAGAACGAAGTGCTGTTGTACAACGTGGTTCTGTCGCTAAGAGATGCTTTGGGAATCCTATTCAAGTATGCATGGCTCCATAATATCCGCTGAATAGAGAAGGGAAAATAGATCAATTGGGCTAACTCTGTTCCTCAGGGGCGCAACCGACAAGCGCACGATCGTCGAGAACTACGATTTGGTCGCCTTGGCCATCGATGAGATTATCGACGATGGAATCATCCTGGAAACCGACCCTGTGCTGATCGCCTCCCGCGTCAGTCGCGCTCCTGCTCCGGATGCACCGAACTTGAAGAGCATCGACCTGTCCGAACAAGGTCTGATGAATGCCTGGGAGCTTGGAAAGCGGCGTCTGGCGGAGGGGTTGCGGCAGATGTAATTGACGTTGATGATTCTGCAACTTTCTATTTGATGCATTTTGATGTGCTTTCATCTTTATTCTCTTCATGTCATGTCTTTCTGTTATCTAATCTGGCTGGTCCTGGCGTGGTATTTGTGCGCATTGCTTGCTCATTGTGGAAATCATGTTTATTTTAACATTCTTACTACTATTCGCCCCCGCATTCTTTTGTTGCAGGGGCTTGAGGCACCTATAGAGATACTCCTTGGTGTTTTGCTGCGAAATATTGTGCATCTTAGCTGGGGTGTTGAGAGATCATCTAGAGGCTCGTACTATATATATATAACGAACGGATGACATGAGTTTATGGTCATGAAAGGTTGCGGAGAAAAGTTCTATATCTGGTAGTAGTGTGCAGACCTATAGCACAATACAAATAGCGTTTAGAATGGGCTTGGATGTAGTATACAACCACTGGTTGATAAGGTGAAAGCGATGGACAGTCATGGAAAGCAATACCATCCATAGGCGAAAAAGCGCCCCGCATACGTCACGCCCGCGAGTTCGGAGTCACTGCAAAACTCTTGAACCACCGCATCAACTCAGCGCAACAGCCTCGCTCCTCCGGGAAACAGGACAAAGGACACCAGAAGATGAAGCAGAGATTCTCGTCCTTGGATGTCAAGGTGAGCATGCCGAGCAACACCCCGCCATCCGCAACCGCCGTGCACGAAACTCACACGACAAATGCCAGGTCATCTCCCAGGAACTTGCATCGGAGATAGTCAATTTGCGAGTTTCGAACATCTACGACCTCTCCTCGGTATGCCAAACCCTTCTAAGCCAGAAAAGTGATTTTCATCTAAGCTCATCTGCTATCTGCTCAGCGCATTTTCCTCTTCAAAGTCGCCAAACCCGACCACCGCAAACAGCTCGTCGTCGACTCGGGCTTCCGCTGCCATGTCACGCAATACTCCAGAGCGACTGCTTCAGCGCCCACTCCGTTCGTGACGCGCATGCGCAAGTTCCTCAAATCTCGACGCATCACCTCCATCGAACAGATCGGCACGGATCGAATCATCGACTTCTCCTTCAGCGATGGCATGTACCACATGTTCTTGGAGTTCTTTGCCGGCGGAAATATCATCATCACCGATCGCGAGTACAATATCCTCGCGCTATTTCGACAGGTTCCAGCTGGCGAGGGACAGGATGAGACCCGCGTCGGAGTCAAGTATACGGTGACCAATAAGCAAAATTATCACGGTATTCCGGATATCACAAGAGAGAGGGTCAAGGAGACGGTGGAGAAGGCTAAGGCCCTATTCGCACAGGAGGGGAATGCGCCGAAGAAGTCCAAGAAGAAGAATGCGGATGTGCTCCGCAAGGCTCTGTCGCAGGGGTTCCCGGAGTATCCGCCCCTGTTGTTGGATCATGCGTTTGCTGTGAAGGAGCTGGACCCCGCTACCCCGCTCGACGAGGTTTTGCAGGATGAGGCGCTACTGCTAAAGGTCGTGGATGTGTTGGAGGAGGCGAAGGTCGAGACGGATAAGCTGGCTACGGAGAAGAGTCATCCTGGTTATATTGTTGCGAAGGATGATACTCGTCCGTCTGCGGACTCGCCGGCTCAGGGTGATGAGGAGGCCGCTCGGAAACCGGGATATCTGTATGAAGATTTCCACCCGTTCAAGCCTAAGCAGTTTGAGGGCAAGCCGGGTGTTACTATTCTGGAGTACCCGTCCTTCAACGCGACGGTTGATGAGTACTTTTCGTCGATTGAAACACAGAAGTTGGAGTCGCGGCTCACGGAGCGGGAAGAGGCTGCGAAGAAGAAGCTTGATGCTGTTCGACAGGAACATGCCAAGCGCATCGGCGCTCTTAAGGAGGTTCAGGAACTGCATATTCGCAAGGCGGGGGCGATTGAAGATAATGTCTACCGGGTTCAAGAAGCGATGGATGCAGTTAATGGCCTAATTGCTCAGGGTATGGACTGGGTCGAAATTGCCCGTCTCATTGAGATGGAGCAAGGCAGAGGAAACCCAGTGGCTAATATCATCAAGCTGCCATTGAAGCTCTACGAGAATACGATTACGTTGATGCTTGGGGAGTCGGGCGAAGAGCAGGACGAAGGCGAGGATCTGTTCTCGGACGATGACTCTGAATCAGAGGATGAGCAGGAAGAAGTTGCTAAGGCCCAAAAACAGTCAAACAACATGCTGACAATTGATATTGATCTCGGCCTGTCTCCCTGGGCGAACGCAACACAGTACTACGAACAGAAGAAGATGGCTGCCGTGAAGGAGCAGAAGACAACGCAGTCCTCGACCAAGGCTCTCAAAAGTCACGAGAAGAAAGTGACGCAGGACTTGAAGAAGGGTCTGAAGCAGGAGAAGCAGGTTCTTCGGCCTGCGAGAAAGACTTTCTGGTTCGAGAAATTCCTCTTCTTCATCTCGTCGGAAGGGTATCTGGTCCTAGGGTATGTATCTTCCGCTGTGTCTGTAAAGGTTTGATCTGATCTAACTGGAACAGTGGCCGCGATGTGATGCAAAGCGAGATCCTCTACCGCCGCTACCTCAAGAAAGGCGATGTGTTCGTGCACGCCGATCTACAAGGTGCCACGCCCATGATCGTCAAGAACAGACCCAACTCACCTAACGCACCCATTCCCCCAAGCACCCTTTCGCAAGCCGGTAATCTTTGCGTGGCTACGTCCAGCGCCTGGGATTCCAAGGCCATCATGTCAGCATACTGGGTTAATGCGAGCCAAGTTAGCAAGACTGCTGACGCGGGAGGCCTCCTTCCCACCGGCGAGTTCCTCATCAAGGGCGAAAAGAACTTCCTGGCCCCCTCACAGCTCGTCCTAGGATTTGGAGTTATGTTTCAGGTGAGCAAGGAGAGTCTCCGGAACCATAAGCTGCACCGGTTCGATGAACCCGTGGCTACGGAAGCGCCTGTGGAAGGTCAGGAAGCCGACAAGGAAGCCGATGACAAGCCTGTCGAGCAAGAAGTACAGGTTACTAAGTCCGAGGGACCAGCTGAAGTGGAGCAGGAGCGAGAGCAGAGCAGCGAGTCTGAAGGGGAACAAGAGGATGATGCTGCGATCCCAGCTAGAAACCCGTTGCAACGCGGGTCATCAGAGCCCACCCAAACAGATCTGGTTGCAGCATACGAATCCCAGAACGCTCAGCCTGATGATGCAGCTGAAGAGGAAAAGGAAGAAGAAGCCGAAGAACCGAACGGTAACAATGAAGATGAGCAAAGTGCTCAAGAAGAGCCAGCCGAGGATGAGAAGGACGAGGAGGAGAGTGCGACATCGCCACAAACTCATGATGATCGACAACTCTCTGCAAGAGAAAGGCGGATGGCTAGAAAAGGAAGAGCGTCGGAGCTGGATGGCCCTGCAACGAACGGAACATCTGCCAAATCTACTAACAGCAAGCAAGCCCCAACTCGGGGTAAGAGGGGCAAGGCAAAGAAGGCCGCACAGAAGTACGCTGATCAGGACGAGGAGGACCGGGAACTGGCTCTACGCTTGCTAGGTGCCAAGAGTGCCAAAGCTGAAAAGGCAGCTGCAGAAGCCGAGGCAAAGGCCAAGCGTCAGAAAGAAGCAGAGGAAGCGAAGAAACGACGCAGAGCACAGCATGAACGCGCCGCGGAAGCGGAGCGGAAACGGCAGGCTCTCTTTGAGGGTGGTGCCGATGAGTACGATGAAGAAACCGCCGCAGCAGAAGCAGCAGATATGGAGTGGATTCCTGCATTGATTGGAACTCCTCATCCAGATGATGAGATCCTGGCTGCCATTCCTGTGTGCGCTCCTTGGGCTGCCTTGGGTCGGTACAAGTATCGTATCAAGTTGCAACCCGGCACTGTGAAGAAGGGCAAGGCCGTCAAGGAGATCATCGGACGCTGGGTTGCCGAAACGACAACAGGCAAGGTCAAGAAAGAACACGCCGAAGACGCTGGTATCGACAGAGCTACCGCTGAGAAGCTTCGCGCGCGGGAAGGAGACCTGATCAAAATGTGGAAGGACACGGAGGTCATCAATAGCGTCCCCGTCGGTAAGGTGCGCATTATGGCTGGGCCAGCACCTAGCGGAGGTGATAAGGGCAAAGGCAAAGGTGGCGGTGGTGGAAACAAGGGAGGAAAGGGAGGGAAGAAGAAATAGACGCTGGATATAGGGTATTGGATATCTTACGATCTGACGTGCTGGATGATCTACAATCCACCATGGAGGAAACCACCGTAGTTTGGCTGTATTAGTTACTTAGCTGTGACGTTATAGGTGATCACAGCAAATAAATACATACAGTGCACTATGAAAATGAGGCCTATCTAGACATGTCCTCTAACTCTTACTTGTTCATTCTATTCGTACAGTTAAAACATCATTAGAAAATAAGAGAAATGGCCGAATCTGGACTGCGTTGCTTAGTCACGCCCACCGACGTCATCGCGAAGATTTTCCATTCGATCTTCACTTTTTTGTTTTACTGACTTACAGAGTTCAGCAACCCAACAGAGTCGCCAATTGCTCATTTGTCTGGCAGCAATCGCTGGGGCCGTACACGACTGGTGGAGCAGCCTGACAGGAGGTCCCCGAATCAGGATTTGCCTATGACCGAATAGCCTCGAAACGCGCGATACCCGTTCTCCTCTTCCCCCCACTACCGAGAAATTTGTATCGACTTAATCTACAAGCCGTGACTCACCCCACGATCGCTCGTTCCTCTGCTCTGTTCGGGGAACGAATATCGCCTGCCAATCTGGTTCTACTCCTATCTCGCCTTACTGCTCGCGGTCTCCCGCGCAGCTTCAGTAGATTCACTTCCACCGCCCCAGCAACCATGACTCCCAAAGCTTCCACCCGGATCGCATCGGTGCGCCGTCTCAACAAAGAAGGCCCCGGAGAGCGATCCCTCGCAGAGTGGTGGGCCAACGAACGCGATAACCACACCCCGGAAGCGGCCGCCATCGAGGACGCGGCGCAACTCCTCCGAACCAGCGATATTCCCGTTGCTTTCCCCACAGAGACAGTGTATGGACTGGGTGCAGATGCGACGCGGAGTGATGCAGTGCAAGGGATCTACAAGGCGAAGCAGAGGCCGTCAGATAACCCGTTGATTATACATGTCGATTCGCTGGGGATGTTGGAGCGGTTACTCAACCCCACACAGGAAAGCCCATCGCGCAGAACTTCCACTGCGAAGAACGCTATCCCCCCCATCTACGACTCGGTCATTTCCCGCTTCTGGCCTGGTCCTCTCACAATCCTCCTCCCTAATCCCTCCGGCTCCCCTCTTGCTCCCGAAGTCACCTCCAAACTTACGACATTTGGTGTGCGCATGCCCTCATCCCCGCTTGCACGCTTGTTGATCCATGTAACGGACCGACCACTGGCGGCTCCCTCAGCCAACGCATCCACGAAGCCCTCCCCGACGGCGGCAGAACATGTATTCCATGACCTTGAAGGTCGCATTGAGCTGATCCTTGATGGTGGTCCCTGTGGCGTAGGCGTGGAGAGTACGGTTGTCGACGGGCTGTCCGACCCCCCGGCTATTCTTCGACCGGGCGGGATTGGAATCGAGGAGCTGCGGACGTGCGCTGGGTGGGAGAATGTACAGGTCGGATATCATGACGGCACACTAGACGTGAAGGAGATCCCACGGGCACCGGGCATGAAGTACCGACACTACTCGCCCAAGGCACGCGTGGTGCTGTTCGAAGCCGGCTCCGATGAGGAAGCCGTCACGAGACATATCCGCAAGGACCTGGAAGATTCGGCCATCGGAGCACACATGATCGGAGTTGTCCGCACGCAACACTGGAAGCGCGGGTTGGGGTTGCTGTCTGCCGACGAGATGCAAAAGAGCCTGAAGCGCATCCCATCGCTCGTGGACGAGCTAGTGGGATTCTCCGTCCCTGTAAGCGACCAAGTCAACGGAAGCACTGCAACCAAGGAGACCTTCGACTGCCACCTCGGCACGGATGTCAAGTCGATCGCGCAGGGCCTCTTCTCTGCGCTACGGGCCATGGATGAAATGGAGGTGGATGTCATTTACGTCGAGGGTGTGCCTGATCACCAGGGCGATCTGGCAGCTGCTGTCATGAACCGGCTGCGCAAAGCCGCTGGGGCGGAACTCCGGGTATAATAATACTTTACAACCTCTTACCCCTCGGAGGATTTCTATAGATCGCATTCTGGGCTACATACATACATACATACTTGCTACATGGAAGGACTTGGCAGGGTTGGCTAGAAGAAAATTCATGGGACTATTTACGAATTTTAGCATGGATATTGCGGTTAGAATATGACTAGCACAGTTTTAATATCAATTTGAGCGTTAGGATCGATAAAGTTGATGTGCATGCATATCGATGATACCCAGAAAATAACAGTACAGAGTTTAGGGCTGAACAGCCGATCGGAAGAAAATTGATCTTCTAGAAGCCTTATCTAACAAATATGTAGTAGTGTATCATCTTACCCATCTTATCAGATAGACCAACTATCATCCAAAGCATAACATACTAAAAAGAGGGGACATTGCGTGCAAATCTCCGTTCTCCGGCACCTGCATCGGCCGTCTCCGACTCGGCGTGATTCCGGGCCTTAGTTGCACAAGCAATGAACTAAGGGCGATTTTTGCTGTGGTGGTTCAGCGTGGCGGGACAGGCGCAGCGCAGACACCGAGAGCGAAAAAAAGAAGCTTATCGTTGTCTCGTGGCCTGACGAATCCACCCACCGGGCACGGAGTGGGGCCTCAGGAACAGTCGCTGTTTGGCTGTGGAATTCATCATTTGACTCAAATCTATTATCCACTTTTTAGGTGCTTCGGACGGAGTACCGCTTTGGGATAGATACTCAAGAGTCATTCATTTCTTGGATGGTTGTGAGGATCTTTTTATAAGGTTATTGGTGTCCTCTTTTTTCTGGGGGTCTTGGTACTACTACTTTTTACTCTTCTATACTACTGATTTACGGATATCGTTCACTACGTACACTTCTACCAACATCTACAATATGTGCCAATCCGACACTCCCCATGAATCCCACTGGCACGCCTTCCTCCAAGGCCTGCCCAAATGCGAACACCACGTCCATCTGGAAGGCTGCCTCACCCCCAGCCTGATCTTCGACCTCGCCTCTAGAAACAATGTCCAACTACCCCAAACCCCCGAATACACCTCCATCGACACTCTCACCGCCCGGTATGGCAACTTCTCCTCCCTCGATGACTTCCTCCACTTCTACTTCATCGGCATGTCCGTGCTGCACCACGAGTCCGACTTCTCTGATCTCGCCTGGGCCTATTTCCAAAAAGCGCACGCCGACGGCGTCCACCACGCCGAAGTCTTCTTCGATCCCCAGGTTCACCAGGACCGCGGCATTCCGTACGAGACCATCGTGCGCGGGTTCGTGGCGGGGTGTGAGCGCGCCGAGAAAGAGCTGGGTCTCTCGACCAAGTTGATTCTCTGCTTTGTGAGGCACTTACCTGTTGAGTCGGCGGAGAAGACGTACCAGAAGATTCTGGAGAACGGGCATTTTGAAAGTGAGGTTGTGCATGGACTGGGGTATTCGTCGAGCGAGGTTGGCCCGCCCAAGGATATGTTTAGGGAGATTTATGCCTCGGCTAGGGAGAGGGGCGTCAGGTTGACGGCTCATGCGGGGGAGGAGGGCGATCCCTCGTATATTAGTACGGCGTTGGAGATGGGAGCGAGGCGCATTGATCATGGGATTCGGTTGGTGGAGGATGAGGTGCTTATGGAGAGGATTGCGAGGGAGGGCATTCTGTTGACGGTTTGTCCGTTGTCGAATGTGCAGTTGAAGTGTGTGAAGGAGGTTGGAGAGGTGCCGATTCGGAAGTTCTTGGAGAATGGTGTCAAGTTCTCCATTAATAGTGATGATCCGGCGTATTTTGGGGGCTATATTTTGGATAATTATTGTGCCGTGCAGGAGGCGTTTGGGTTGAGTGTCTTGGAGTGGAAGACTATTGCTGTTAACAGTGTGAGTGAGAGTTGGATTGAGGAGGAGAGGAAGATGGAGTTGATTAGGAGGATTGAGGACCATGTTGGAAGGTTTGCGCATTTGGCTTAGTTAGTTTTATTCCTACCTGGTGATATAGAAGGGTATGGGTATGGTGTAATGAGTAGATGATAGATGCATATTGAATAAAGCGTGATTCTTTGAAGCTGGTTTTGGGCACTATGCAGTGTGATTTGTAGCTCATTTGGTAGTATCAGACTGTAGATAGGCTCATAGTTGGTTATCGGGATCATGCCAATGACTAAGACCAAGTGTGGCCCGCGACGCATTAAACACCAAAGCACTGAGTCCAGTAGACACGAATAGTATACTACTCCCTACTATTACCCTGGAAGATGCCGCCGACCATTTCCCCGCTGGCCAGTTGCATCCCCCGCACGCCCATCTCACGGTCTTTCCGCAACTTCCATTCCTACAGATTGTCCCGAACATTATCACCGTCGTCATCATCAACATCATCACCATTCAGATCTCCGCTCTCCGTGTCTCTACCAGCATCGTCTACGCGACTTACATCTACGAGCATCACCAACACAACTCTCCCTACGATCAAAAAGTTCTCCTATCAAATAGTCCAAAACCGAACCATGTCTGCTGCCCCCGTCCCCGACCGGTACAAACTCGTCTTCTTCGTCCCGCATTCCCACCTCGAGGCATGTAAAGAAGCTGTCTTCGCGACCGGCGCGGGAACCTTTCCCGGAGGCAAGTACCGGAAATGCTGCTTCCAGATGCCTGGTCAGGGCCAATTTCTGCCGTCAGAAGGTGCGAATCCTGCCATTGGCGAAGTTGGGACGATCGAAACGGTTGAGGAAATGAAGGTGGAGGTGATGTGTCTGGGACGGTCGGTGATGCTGCAGGCAGTCGAGGCATTGATTAAGGCTCATCCGTATGAGGAGGTCGCATATGAGGTATATAAGATGGAGAATGTATAATGGGCTGTTGGTGATGTCGGATGCGTTGCTGGGCTATAGGCCCGGTCGGTTTATGTGTCATGACGGCGTTTTGGAGGGATTGAGTCGTGGAGGTGCCTGTTGTTAGTCCAGATGAATTCTGCAAGCCGGATTAAAGCCGATTAAATTATACTGTGATTTTTTGATAGTTTTGAAGAAGCTGTGATGTTGTAAAAAGGCCGTCGAGAGGGTCGTTCATTGGCACAAGGCGGGAGTAATCTGTCGGCGCTGATTGGTCAGCCGCAGCTCCCGCAAAACGCCTCTTCGACTCCAAGTCGGTCGTTCACCTTCAATCCATCAGATCAAGTCCTCCAATCCCCCTCCCCATACCCTCAGTCCCCTCTCCTCTGCCAGCAATGGCTTCCAAATTCTTCCCCGCCGTCCCGCGGACTGGCCGCCAGCTCTTCCAGCAGATCCCCAAGACCCAATTCAGACCCTTCTCGGCTGGTCCGCAACGCTTCAGCGACTCCCTTGCCGTGGTACGTCCCAAGCACTCCTATGGCTGATTCGGATTTGGCGGCATGCCGGATATTATTTCGTTTGCCAATTGCGCGTCAAAAAGCCATATCTTTTGCGAGGTGCCAATGCTGACCAGTTGACTTTGTCCAGCACCGCAACAAAGGCGAAAACAACCCGAATGTTCCGTTCAAGTTCACCGAGCAAAACCTCAAGCTCATCGATGAGATCCTCAAGCGCTATCCCCCCCAGTACAAGAAGGCCGCTGTCATGCCGGTTCTGGACGTTGGCCAGCGCCAGCACGGCTACACCAGCATCAGCGTCATGAACGAGGTCGCCCGTCTCCTGGAGATGCCCCCCATGCGTGTCTACGAAGTCGCAACTTTCTATACCATGTACAACCGTGAGCCGGTTGGCAAGTACTTTGTTCAGCTTTGCACGACGGTATAAAATTGGACCCTTTCCTACCTGGCGTGGCATACGTCCCCTCGTTTTTGTCATTGCTGACAGCCATTTCAGACACCCTGCCAGCTCGGTGGTTGCGGTAGCGACAAGATCGTCAAGGCGATCACGGAACACCTGGGTATCACCCCCGGACACACTACCGAAGATGGTCTCTTCACCTTCGTCGAAGTCGAATGCCTGGGTGCCTGCGTCAACGCTCCCATGGTCCAGATCAACGACGACTACTACGAGGACCTTACCCCCGAATCGATGAAGTCGCTGCTCACCGCCCTCAAGGAGTCCGCCACGGCCACCGAGGCTGGCCAGACGGTGAAGGTGCCTGCTCCGGGTCCTCTGAGCGGCAGAGATACATGCGAGAACAGCGCGGGATTGACCAACCTGATCGAGCCCGTGTGGGACCCGGCTACGATGATGAGAAAGGATGGGGCTTTGGACGAGCAAACACAATAAATGAAGATAAACCTATAATTCGAGCCAGACAATATAGTTTCGATACCGTGCGTTGGATGGTTCCAATCCCTGTCATGTTCCCCCTTTCGTTTTTCCTTTTCTGTCCTGGTTGGTGAAACTGGACGGGCCACCAGGTAACGCTTATGTACAGTACGTTGTTTCTGATTTCTCTCTTTTGCGTAGGGGGAAAGTCGGATATGGTGGGATTGATGTCAACTACCATAGAGGATCTCGTTAGCAGTAACCAATTCAGTTCTTTCAATGTTTAACGGGATTTCTGTGCCATATCCTAGATTCCTGTTTTCGGCTGGCGGTGCTGAGGTAATTGCTGCAGCTCTTGGGTTTGAATTTCAACGGAGAAGAATGTCCGACTGATTTGCTGGTGGTGTTCCTGCCCGATTTGGTTATGACTTCTTACAAATGCATTTCCTATCTGGAGGTACTTCACGTGGACAGTGAACTACGAGTTCGTCTTGCTGTTTGAGAAACACGGATTCAATCTTCCTAATCACAGTGGCTCATTGAAGTTAACTCTGACAAATACACACACACATCAACTATTAACACTGATTCCACAAATCCATATTGCATGGCGGAAAGCCAGAAAATTCCCTCACTTCCATTCACTGAACTCACAGCACGAGTTTTCCCAAACACTCAAAACGCGTTGTCGACCACCAAGGACGGCCCTTCACACCTGATCCCCTCACCATCCAAGGCTTCTCCGCGAGCCACGAGTTCGGCTTTGCCGTTCCTTTCTATCAATACTTTGTCTCGCCGTTCTTGAAAGATGTTCACGTCTATGCTGTGCTTGGCCAACAAGTGGTAGACGTGAACACGGCGAGTTTGTCCATATCGTCGGGACCGTCCGATCGCTTGAATCATTGCCGACTCATAATCATACTGTGTCTCGGCGTTCATCGGTGACAGAAAGATAACGTGATTTGCGGATTGCAAGTTCCTGCGAATTACATTAGGCACAAGCTACAAAAACATTAGGGGAGGGGGGGTGGGGGTTGGAAGGGAGGGTGGGAGGGCAACTTACAATCCTGCTGCCATCTCCCCTCCTAGATTCAGGATTAGCGCTTTATCTTCGCCAAAGCTTGTCTGTTGAAATTGTTCAATTTTTTGCATTGACTTGCGGTCTGTGGTTAAGATCGCTGTGTGCTTGATCTTGGCGAGATCCAGTGCCTTGGACGCGACTTCAATGAGCTCGGGATATTGTATGAAGATCAGGGCTCGCTCGTTGCTGGGGATCCCGTTGAGGATCTCTATCAGTTTGTCCAGCTTGCTGCCGCCATATTTTGCGCTCTTATCAACGCTAACCCCTCCGAGCGTGGATGCTTCGATGATATTGAACTTCCTCCCCGAACCGCGGCATCCATGTACAACACACTCCTCTCTCTGCAAAGTCTCCGAAACGCAATTCATGCATAGAGTATGGCCGCAGTGGCCTGACACATTCGTGTTCTCGATAACTTGCAACTGGCAGTAACAACCATTGCATTGCAGGAGTCCAGCACCTTTCAGCAAAAGCTGCATCGCTGTGAGGGTTCTAAGGGCACTCTTGCGCAGTACCCATTCCACAACGAGGCTCCGAATGACTGTCGTGGCTTCTTTCAGAAGTGGCTCGACTTCGCAAGCTTGCTCGGGCTTTTTGGGAAGCGAAACGCCGGTTTTCTCACTGCTTTCCTCGGATCGCTTACTGCCGCTGGCTTTCCTGGCCTGGATTCGCTGGTTGCTATGCTTGGCGACCTTTGGTCTAGAAGAATGATCGAGGCCATCGTTGGCTACCAGTTCACTGCTTTCGTTATCGTTTTCTGCATCAGACGCGCTGCTCTCATCATCTGGCAGTTGCTCTCCAGGAGCAGCAAAGAAATGCTCCCAATCATCAGCCTTCGATTCGTAGAATGCTGCTCTCAAGAGGGAATAAAATTCTTGGGTGATGGCCATATCACCAAAATCATCTCTAAAGATGCTTTCGATGAACTTGTGGAAGTGATGACAATCGGATTCAAAACAACAGTAAAGCCACGCTGCCAACTTCAATTTCATATTGATATCACTTTTGAGATCACCGAGCTGTTTCTCCCTGATGGCGATCAGGGATGCGCATGTTGTTAGCTCCGGCTCTCCGTCTTTATTCCATCGACCATGGAGGGCAAGGGATGAGCAACGTTTGAGCAATGCCTCTTCGGCCGTTGCACTGCTTCCAATAATCTCGTCCAATCGATCTACTTGGTCACTGCTGAATCTTCCTCGGCCACTTCGACGGAGCTGGCGGTTGTATGTCATCAGCTGCCTATACAGTTCGAGATAAACTACTCGTTCTGCCGGTGATGGCTGGACCACAATTATGTGCTCTGATGAGGGGATCTCATCAATTTCAGCAACATTCTTTCGTGCAAACCGGTCCAAGAACCTCTGGGCCAGCTTATGTCGATGTTCATGCCAGAGTTCACTGTAGGGTGCTCGTAACGATTGAAATGCCTCTGCAGCAGAACGCTGCTTGAGTCGCAGCTTGACATGTCTGTTTTGTAGTCTAGGGTCATCCTCGTCTACACCGAGATGCACATTGAGAAAAGGTGCAATGCTATTAACATCGGCAAAACTGTTAAGCGGCGGCGTCCCTGACAGTACCCATTTCGACCGAGCTTTGAGTGAGAGGAGTGGGCTGAGCCTTTCGGGGTCTGCATATGTGAACTCATCTATGACAAGACGACCAAAGGAGAACATGTGAAGAAACGGGTTTTTGACGGCCCTCCAATCTTGAACTCTACTTTTGCTTATGTTGAATTCTTTGCGGTCGTCCCACTTCTTCGCCTTTCGGCCAGCTGTCTTGTTGGAGGGAACTGGTCGGACTTGACTGTCTTCCGCCGCAGAATCTTCATATTGAGTGACATTATCTGTTTCGGATGCAGATTGCTCAGCCAGATCATCTTTTTCATAACTCTGAATTCTAAGGTACTGGTCCGTTTTCGATCTCAGAACTTGAATGTCGGTTTCGCCTTCTGTTTCTGAATCCTCATCACTCGATAACTCCGCTAATATTTCGAGGCCCTCTTGTTCTGAAGCGTGGTTACCTTTGACGTACTGATCACCACGGAGGCGCCGGGACGGGCAATATGTTAGATGTATTTGAGAACCCTTAACAGTTTGTCGCTTGAGACGAATCGACGCGAGAAGCGCGCTTGGACCCTGGCTGGTCAAAACTCGGACTTGCTCTTTCAGTGCGGCTTGGGCGTCCTTGAACCATGCATCAAAATTTCGCCCAGCCTTTTTAGGAGTTCGAGGAGTGCCGGTGAACTTCTGCAGCTTTTCATAGTATGCTGGGTTGTTGAAGATTGACCAGGATGCTAAAATGATGTCACTCTGCAGAACGTCACTTATGGATACTTTTGCGAATGTACCCGCCTTTGCCAATACCAAGACCTTGAATCTAGAACCCAGAAATTTGGAGATCTCTGCTTGCCATTGCTGGATCATGATCTGAGGCACAATGATAAGGGTTGCTTTGCAAGGAATAAATCCGTCGGTTTCCGCAGGGGTTGGCAGGCGCTCCCTTCCGTGCTGCGTATCGATTAAGCCTAAGATGATGGCTGTTTTTCCATAGCCAACATCATCAGCTATCACACCACCTCGAATAAACTTCTGACTAGTGACTCGCCCCTCTGCGCGCCACATCAACGATGGAAGAAGTGCCTCCTCCGTCTCTTCTTCCATGAACGGCGGGGCATCATCATCTTCTTGCCGGACCATCCATGACAGTGATCTTAATTGCTCTGGCCGCAGAGCCAGACGGAAGTTAGGCGGCTGAGGTGCTGCGACGTCTGTCTTGTTGTTTTCGAGCTTAAACATGGGAAATATGACGTTTCTAGTGTCGTATGATTTCGGGACCAGACGCCAGTAGAACGACACCTCTTTCACAACACCATTTTGAATCAACTTATCATATGCCTGATGCAACAGGCTCTGGACGTTGAGTGTAACGCGCAAGTCAGCAAGGCCCTGCTCATCGATCTTTCGGAATATCAGGAACGGCGGCGGTCTTGCTTTCACCTGGCGCTCATAGAGGGCTGCATCGTATGGATCTTCATATGCCTTGATTTGACCTCTACCGTCACGGCCCCATAGGATGCGCGGCTTCAGCGGCACACATGTACATGCCGAGTCAGTGTTGTCACCCGGGGCCTGAGTATCAGCGACTGCGTTCCAGTTTTCAAAGCCCAAATGGACTGCCGCTTTCTGTAGGAGCCAAGAGAGGTCCTGAAGCGAGGATGGCGAGTCTAGTGGGTTTATGACTTCCCATGATTCTTTCTTCCACAGCGCCTCCATGGCTGTTGGCGGAGCTCGGAACGACAGTAAAGGAACATTAGCGTCACGACAACCTGAGGGGGAAATTGTGATGTTGGTTGCCTCATTCAATCTTTGGCACGAGATGGAGGCGTGTGGAAGATAGAGATTCAGGGCCACATTTGGAGCTCTAGTCCATTGGCGGAAGTAGATGTGAACGGGCTGCGGATCCTTGCTGACCTTGACTGAACGCCATAGATGGGAGACTTCCGCGATGGCTTGTCTCCGCTCATAACCGCGGACACGTTCATGGTCCCAAGCAAAAACGAAGAAATCATTGTTTGCATCCCCGAGCTTCGTTGGATCCAAAAAAAGGAACACCGGGCGATCGTACTCACCAGCGGATCTTTTGTGCAGGGAAGCGTGTGCCGTACCGCAGTCCGGCAGAAGATCATACGTCCCCCGAACATCTGCCTCCAGGCCCACCACCGCTGTATCAGGACCGTCGACTTGAACCTTCGTCCAACGTTTTGTTCCAATAACCTTTTTCATCTCGAGGCCGCAACGTACTTCATAGGTGTCGATTCTGGGGCCACTTCCAGAAAAATACAGCGTCCGTCTGGAGCTCAGAGGCCCACAGACTTCCCAGTCGCCTTCCAAAAGTGACGCAGACACTGGCGTCATGCGAGCGATTGGCTTGGAAAGAATTTCCCGCATCAGACAAAGTGCAGGAGTACCCTTGGGAGATTTGGCAAACAAGTTCCATTCAATGCTGGAGGCACTGATTAACAGACGCAAGAAAGAATGCTTGCCTTCGTACTGGATAGTCCATCTTTCACTCCGCTTGATATCCAAGAGCCGGAGTTCGTCGCCAACAGCTGGCTCAATTACTTCCAAAAAATCTTTCCAGACATGCGCAGGACAATCCAGTGATGTGTCGTTAGCCAAGGACGCATAACAATCCGAAGAAATGCCAGAAATCACCAATCTAGCTGGCAGGTTACGCTTGAGGTCACAGACAAAGTCCAACGGCATGGTGCGGCCGAGATCAGAATAGCGCTCAAAAGCATGTGAAGGGTTCCCTCCACACTCGGAGCAGACCGTGTGATGGCACAAGGAGCATCTCAAGATGCCCAAGCTTATGCTAGTTTGTCTCTCGCATACACAATATCTTGCACTGCTTGCTGCCCGCATCTGGAGCTGGACAATATCAAAATGAGCAGCACAACTGAGCTGTATGTCATATGGTGTCATCGTATGACCGTCTTGAGGCATAACACGTTTGCTTTTGAAGGAGTGTTCTTTTCCCATGGGTGCGCCTTCGCCTGGCTTGAGGATTTTATGTCCGTGGATCAATGCGGAAAGAATTGCTACACCGACGACGGTTGAAGTCATTGCATTTCCTGCAAGGTCCTGCAGCTCGCGCTGGGTTTCACGAGTTAGTAGAAGTCTGTCAAGGGGCAAGCCTTGTAATGCCAGCGACTCGAGACCACAGAGAGGACCGCCCCTGGTCGAAATGTATGGGATTCCGGCTGGAGTGATGCATCCAACGATTCCAGGTGCCCGTACATCGATCTCACGTTCGATCCCCTGTGAGAGTTCGATGCATCTCCTAGAACAGGTTAGTTTCAGTCAGTTGATCAGAGACGAGGTTGCGACTGACTCTTTGTAGTGCATATCATAACCTTCTGCCATCTTGCGCAGAAAGTTCATATCCAGTGTCTCCCAGACGCGCTCTGGCAAGGAGTTCATCCACTTTCTCCAAGTAAAGTCGGGCATTTGGCAGCTACCATCGTCCTGTGACTTACTTACTGGGCGTTTGTCTCCGAGAGAATTTTTCCGACGGTAAGTCTGATGACGGACTCGATACTTTTCCCAATTCACAGGCTTACGGGTCAGCTTTGCGCGTGTCGCCATGTCTGCCTCAATTTGTTCGAGTCTCTTGTCATCGGCGTCAATAAGGAACATGCCGGCTGGAGAGCTAGCGGGACGTTTGAACTCAGTCATGGTGTGTGTCCAATGAACTATTTCGTCCCATGCGGATTGTTTGTCCAAAGCTGTCCTGTCCACACAGAGCATATATCCTCGCTCCCGAGTCTGTGGCAGATAGTATGCCTTTGTGTCCACATCGACGTGGGTGGCAAAGTAACCAATATCATGCCAGTGCTCCTGGATCTTTGCCCATGGGGCGCTCTTTACATTCTCCAGAATGACCAAGGGAGGCCTATAGGCTTTTGCGTATCGAATAATGGCCCAAAAGGTCCCTCCCGACTCACCCTTATCATTCAGTGTTTTCCGCTTGTTATTCAGATTTGAAAAGTCCACACACGAAAACCCAGCAACCAAGATGTCAGGGTTCTTGGGAACCTTTTCCAAAGACCCATAAGCCGTTTGACTAGTGCGGTCAGATAAGTCCTAAATAGCAGAAAGCGAGGGTCTTACTTACGCCACACGGTGATTGAGCTCCTTCACGTCACGGAAGAGGCGAGGTGGACGAAAGTTGCGCTGAATGTACGCCTGTCTGAGTGGGTCTATCTCAGCACTGAAGATATGACGGATTTCGAAATTCATATTGAATTGCTCCCGCAGATCTACAAAGATATTAGTTTCGCAATAGTCGGGGCTATTATCAGATCACCCACGTTTTTGTACCATCTCCAAAGCCAAAATAGGGGACTCAGTGCCAGAGCAGACTGTCGCAACGCGAAGGCGTCTTGAGCCTAGATGGAACAACACACGGTCAAAACCTAGCTCCACTGCCTTCTCCGTGATCGACTTATAGATGTCATTCAGGTCGTGAAGAGGAGGGAGATGCAAAGCAAGCTGTGTTCGCGGCGCTCGAGTACCAAACGGCAGCTGGGACCTGACTACTTCAGGCAGTTTAGTATTGATACCATCTGCATCGTACTCATCCTCAGTATCAGACATGACAGGGTCATTCTCGGGGATCTGCTGCGCCATCTGTTTCGAGGGACGCGTCGGAAGACCCGACGACGACGACAAAGTCCTCTCCAGAGAAGAAGACATAATGAAGACTACAAAGAATCTTTATGAGAAGATTTGAACGAAAACCGAAGACTTGAAGCCTGAGAAGCACTTGAACAAATGCTGTGATGGAAAGTGATGGTAGGGTAGGAAAGGGTCACGTGGAGGAGATACAAAGTCAAGAGAGAACTGAGACAGAGATAGACAGGAAGAGGACATAACAAGAGAGAAACATGGCAGAGGAATATTCAGGGGAAAAAGCCGTGTGTGGGCGTGTGAAAATTTGACCTAACAGTGAATGGCTGTTGCTATGGTGTGCTGCTTGTTTGTGAATCTTCACAAGATGGTTGTTGTCTGTCTGGAGGATTCAGACAGCGAGTGAACCCATAGCGAGGGATGCACGGCGAGGGTCTATGGAGTGCTTGCTTGTATTGTATTTGAGAATGGTCTACTTGATATGGGACTAGTCATAGCGATATCAAGACTGCATGGAAATAATATAAGCAGGCCTTGGCCTTGTCGAGTACTATGCTGTCTATACCTGTCTTCTCGTAGATACGAACCTGCTGCATGCTAACTTGTATGCCTCCTCAGTACCTCAAGACTTAGCTATCTAACAGGAAAATAAACTATGGGGAAGATTTCATATCCAGCGTTGCTAGACAGCGAGCCTAACTGTGCAACATCGACATACATAGACACATGCATAAAGCCAGAGAGAAGAGAGTGTACCATGTCAACAAAATGCCCCATGGGAAGCAGCGTCGAGCATGTCCCGTGAAGAAACATAGCACGGGTTGAACTAAATCATAACGTTACTGGTGTGGGAGGTGATATACTCCAGGATTAATGACAAGGAGGGAAATGATGCGAATTGTGACGGAGATATGGATGAAATACTAGGAATCTATGTGTTCTAGAAGATAGAGAGCATATCTTGAAAATTACGATAGATAGGTGAATAGTACGAAGTGTGACGGAGACATAGATGAGAAAGTAGAAATGTACTATGTGTTCTGGAAAATATGGGGTTCATCTCTGAAGGTTTACGTCGGGGAAAGTAATACAAGTTAAGACAAGCACATGGATAGGATACTAGGAGTTTACAACACTGCTGATCTGTCTGGAAGCAAAACCAATTTGCTGGGATATCCGCTACAGCTGCTGCTATACTATCATGTACATTCCGGAAGTTTGAGAACGAGAAAAAGAAAGGGAGAGGAAAGGGAGAGCAATAAGGCGATGGTCTCCCAGTCCAGTCCGTATCTCACAACCCAATAGAAGAAAAACCCGCAAATTTGAAACCCCACCAACATGCCCGTATTGCGCCAAAACTCACACCCGGTTCCGGTTGTTGATCAATCAGTCAATCAATGAAAGCTATGACGTTGCTAACATCAAGATGGAGAGATGAAAGGGTTGTAGAACAAATTCGGTTGTTCGTGCCGAGGCATTCTGCGTCAGAGGTGCCGCCTGATGCTGCTTTGCGCCCGGTTCCTTTTGTTCCTCATTCGGGAGATAAGAGGGAGAGGGAGGGAGGGGGTATAAGATAGTTTCAGAGGGGTAGATAAGAGGTGATATTCAATCACCGCATAGCACCCTGCATCAACTGCTGCCGAAGGAGCATGATCTGGCTGCGCTCCATGGGTGGGAGCGCATCGATCGCAGCTTGCGGCATACTGAGCACTTGCTGTAGGAGCTCTTCCTGTCCTGGCATAGCCTGCGGGGGTTGTTGCGGCGGGGCGGCGGCAGCAGCAGCGAAAGGAGTGTTGACCATTGGAGGCGTAGACACCGGTCCCGGTACAGCGGAGAAGGGTTGGAAGGCTTGCGCGGCGGCAGGAGGGGGTGCAGGTGCACTAGGTTGGCTCGCTTGTTCCACCACCGAGCCTAGAGCACCGTAATCGACCAGGTTCATGAGTAGCAATGCTTGGAAGATTGCGTAGGCGAGCTGAGGAGCTTGGCGTAGAAGCTCTGTCGCTCTGGCGGGATCCGCCATGACAAGCGACTTCATCTGGGAGAGGACATCGAGGAGCTGGTTCGGGGGCAGGGAAGCGAGTGTCTGAGAGATGGCGTTGGGGCAATCGAGATGCGGGGGAACTTCGACACCCGGGGGCAGAGGAGGAAGAGGCGCGGACTGCTGCTGTTGTTGCTGTTGGGAGCCGTCTTGGACAGCGGGTGCGGAGAGCTGGGAGTAGTCGGGGGGTATGGAGTCCTTTTCATTGTTGTGTGGCCAGTCGACCCGAATCTTGCGGCCCATGATCTCGTAGTCGTTCAAGTTGCGGACAGCGGAGGCGGCCGCATCGGCGTCGGCAAAGTCGGCGAAACCGTAACCTTTGGGTTTACCGGTCTCGGGGTTCATCATCAGGCGGAATTTGGTTACTGTGCCGGCGGAGCTGAGGATGTCTTTGACTTGTTCTTCCGTGAGGTCTGAGAAGTGATGGGTTAGTTTGATGCCATTGGGGTGGTTGTGGTGGATGCAAGACAGAGACAGGGAACATACTATAAGGGATATTCCCCAGGAAGACACTCTTTCCGGCTCCGGGAGCCATGATTGTGGTGGAGGGAGAAAAGAGAGGATGGTATAGATAGGTGTTTTGGTGGTTGAAGAGGAGGTGGTGGTGGTGATATGAGGAAGATGCGCGGAGGGGAAGGAGGTGAATTCTCTGGAGCCCGGAGACAAGAAGCTAAGAAAGACGAGCAATGCCCTGGGAGGAATACCCGAGAAGCAATGGCAACGAGTTCTTTGAAGTAATGGAGATGAATGAAAGATAAGTCTGTAGAGCGAAGATGATGTCGAAAAGCGGCAGCATCTGCCAAGGCGGTGACGAATCGGGCGATTGATTTGCCGCGAATTCGAGCTTCCAAAGCGACGAAGCCAAAGTGACGCCGCTTACACCAATCCTCTTTCCCGTCTCTCTCTCACCTTCATCTCCCCCCATCATCATGTCCGGGAACCCCAGGGATCAGTTGTACAAGCTCCAGATGGCCCTCCAAAACCGCCGCGGCGGTTTTGGTGGCGGCTTCGGTGGTGGTAATCCTCGCGCCGGCATGGGCCTCGCTACTTTGCTCCTCACTGGACTTGGAGTATATGCTGTTTCCAACTCGCTGTTCAACGGTGAGCTCATTGTCGTGGATAATGGGTGGAAGTATTGTTTTTACTGACGGCTACTGCAGTTGATGGTGGTCACCGTGCGATCAAGTACTCCAGAGTAGGTGGTGTCAAGAAGGAAATCTACAGTGAAGGTAAGCATACTCAATACTCTGCATTCGGCTCATCTAACAGGCTCTCCTTCTAGGAACTCACCTTCGGATTCCCTGGATCGAAACTCCTATTATCTATGATGTCCGCGCAAAGCCGCGCAATATTGCTTCCCTTACCGGTACCAAGGACTTGCAGATGGTGAACATCACCTGCCGTGTCCTGTCCAGACCCCGTGTGGACGCCCTCCCCCAAATATACCGTACCCTGGGACAGGATTTTGATGAGCGTGTGCTCCCTTCGATTGTGAACGAGGTCTTGAAGAGTGTGGTGGCACAGTTCAACGCCAGTCAGTTGATCACTCAGCGTGAGAACGTTGCCCGCCTGGTCCGGGAGAACCTTGCTCGTCGGGCTGCTCGCTTCAACATTGCCTTGGACGATGTGTCGCTTACGGTATGCTATCTCTATTATCACTTCTTTTATCCGTCTCGCTAATACCTGCCATAGCACTTGACCTTCTCCCCCGAATTCACCGCCGCCGTCGAAGCCAAGCAGGTTGCTCAGCAGGAAGCCCAGCGGGCCGCTTTCCTGGTCGACAAGGCCCGCCAGGAGAAGCAGGCATTCATTGTGCGCGCTCAGGGTGAGGCTCGTTCAGCCGAGCTGATCGGTGATGCCATCAAGAAGAGCAAGAGTTACATCGAGCTGCGGAAGATCGAGAACGCCCGCCAAATCGCCCAGATCCTGCAGGAGAACGGTGGCCGGAACAAGCTGTACCTGGACAGCCAGGGATTGGGCCTGAACGTCAACGCGGGCTCCGACGACACGAAATAAGCGGACGGATGGACCGATGGAGAGGAATGGGGACTTTGTTAATGGTGTAGCAAGACATGGCGCTATGAAGATCGTCCGACAGGACGACAGGTGAATGGAATCGGGTACTTGTACAAATAGTTATTCTCAGGTTCGAGCAACGGCGATCAGTTTCTCTTCTCTTACTACATGAAGACCGGTGGTACACACTCAGTCACTATACGGGCTATAAAATGGATATGCAGTTATAGCGGAGCTGCGGCGGGGACGAATGCGGCGGCGGAAATCTCTACCAGCGGAATCAACCATCACCAATTCAAACCCAGTAGAACAAATCCTCTACGTGGGAGTTCAAACCCATTTCAACCCCAAAACACCTCCCTAATAAATCGATCAATTGTAAGTCCACCCCAATCACCTACGCTATACCGCACCGCACCACCACAACCCAACCCAACCCAAGTTTTCCCCGCTCGAAAATAAATTCCTCCCCCCACCCCGCCGCCGCGCATATCCAAATCCTCCTCCCCACCATCCTCACAACAACTAACCCCTCCTCTCTCGCAGCCAAACGAGAAAATACACACAAATAGATACCAAGATGGCCGACGCAGACCCAATGATAACCTTCACCCAAGACCCTAACATGGCCCTAAACCTCGACCTCAACATCCAAGAAATCCTCCTCGCCGCATCCACCCACAACATCCCCCTCCTGCGGCGCCTCATCCGCGAAAACCAAACGCCCGGGAACCCCGCAAACGTCAAGGACCCCGAGACAGGGTTCTCGCCGCTTCACGCGGCCATCGCTGCATGCGAGGAGAGCAACGAGGAGGGCGAGAAGCAGACGAATGGCGTCGACACAACCAGTGCTGGTGAGCAGGGTGGAGCGTCGGCCGGCGTCGTCGAAACAGTCAAGTTCCTGCTCGGGGAGGGCGCGATCTGGAATGATCTGGACTTGAATGATGAGACGCCCGGGTGTATTGCGAGGCGGTTGGGGTTGATGGAGGTTTATGAGATGATTGTGGATGCGGGGGTTCGGGCGGAGTTGTTGTTGGGAAGGTTGGAGGAGGGGTGGGAGGCTTTGGGGGATGATGATGATGAAGATGAAGAGGAGGGAGAGCAGGAGGAGGGCGTGGAGCAGCAAGAAGTTACTGCTGAAGCTGCTGCTAACGATGCTGAACCTACCACCACCACCACCGAAGAGAGAGCAGTCGTAGAAGGCCCCTCCGTCACCCAACCACGCTACCTCGACTCAAACCTAACCTTCACGAACGATCGACTCCTCGACAGTGACCAAAACGGCGTCATGATGTCGTGGGAATCCACCATCATGGAGAAATCCGCGGCGAAGCTGCTCCCCACCCCCGGACTGCGGGTCATGAACATCGGACATGGGATGGGCATTGTTGATACGTTCCTGCAGTCACATGGACCCAGTGAGCACCATATCGTGGAGGCGCACCCGGAGGTGGTGGCGGAGATGAAGCGTAAGGGGTGGGATCAGAAGCCCGGGGTGCGGATCCATGAGGGCCGGTGGCAGGATGTGTTGCCTGCGTTGGTGGGCGAGGGGGTAGTGGTTGATGCGATCTACTATGATACGTTTGCCGAGTCGTATAGTGATTTCCGGGAGTTCTTTTCGGAGCAGGTGATTGGGATTTTGGAGCAGGATGGCGAAAATGGGAGCGGGCGCTGGGGATTCTTTAATGGGATGGGGGCCGATAGGCAGATTAGTTATGATGTTTACCAGAAGGTGGTGGAGATGGATTTGTTTGAGGCCGGGTTTGATGTTGAGTGGGAGGAGTTGGAGGTGCCGGCGTTGGAGGGTGAGTGGGAGGGTGTGAGGAGGCCGTATTGGAGGATTGAGAAATATCGGTTGCCCGTGTGTAAGTTTATGGATTGAGGTGGATTAAATTTTGACGGGTGCTGCTATCGTACTATATAGACATTGCTTGTGATGTATCTCCATCTATGGCATCTTGCTTGGGTAATCATGTACACACGCTTCTATTATAACCCTTGTGAATGGTCCCCAACGCCTGTAAATGCAAATACCTTATCCCATGAACCGAATGAAGCAAGAACTGCAAACCAGAACAAATCGTCGTCAATCATACAGCCTACTGATACATAGCCCAACGCCTTATAACTGGATAAGGTCCACCTCGGAGAAGTCGGGCGGACTGCGGCTGAAGATCGTGTGGCATTTCCCATCCAGTGCCTGATACTCGTTACTGATCCAGATGTGCTTGCTGAACCGTTGCGTCCGGTACACCTCATCGTCACTGACCCCGAGGTCGTCACGAGGAATCCAGATCACCGGTCGTTTGGCACGCAATGCGTCATGTTGAAAAGCCCGTTGCACGAGCTGATCACGCTCGTCGGGTGTCAGGTCCTCCAATTCGTCGTGGATGCCGGCAAAAAGCGTGGCCCCAACATTGCGCGAAGGAGGGCCTTGGGCCTCGGCGTCTTGTGCGATCCTGTCGCGCAGACGCTGGACACTGGGTACTTGAGTATTGGAGTGGGCCTTGTAGTATGGTGACCGCCGGTTTGGTGATCGTTCAGCCCACGATTTTCGCTGCGGTCCGAGATGTGGCCTATGCATGATGTGGTGGTTTCCCCGGTCTGGGGAGGAAGACTCCAGCGTCTTTAACTCGATATCGTGCGACATCCGGTCAATCTGATGCTGACGATGCTCGCGTTCAGCCAGCTGGTGCTCGATTGTATCATTGGGATCCTCCTCTTCCTCATTTGGGAGACCCAGTCGGGTTCTCTGGGCCCGAGCAAATTCCTCATCACGGCGCACCGCGTCGTCCTCCAGCGTGATGGGTAGGTAACGGAACAGAGGGCCAAAAGCGTCGTTCAAAAGGATCTGATAGCCGGCTGTCAGGATGAGGACAATGATCATGATAATCGCTTGTCCTTCGCAGGCAACTTCGCCCTGCGTGTCCCGGACCAAGAAGAACAGTCCGATCAGACTAAGCTCCATGACATACAGGCCAGTGAACAGCTGATTGATGGCTCGAGGGAAAAGCAATCCACCCGTATCGAAGCGGAATTTGGTCACGTAAAGCGTATTATACCGGTAGACAAACCAGAAGAGACTGAACGTGATCACGTTGAAAATTAGGATAAGAGGTGCAATGACGCAGTAGATCAACCCTGAAATTCAATTAGCGAAAGTCGTCCATGAAAATGTAAGGGATTAAGGCTTACCAATGGACGCAAGAGTGGTGTACACTGGGAAAAAGGTACCCCATTGCATCTGATTCAGGTTGGTGGTTCGACCCCATTTCTTCCGCGCCGTCTTGTCCAGAATTGGTGCCAGAATGAACCAGCTCACCAGGTTAACGATCTGGACCAGCGCTCCAGCACTCACTGACATCGCCTGAAGAATCATATACGAGAAGAAGTAGTTGCTAGACGAGGGGATGTTCTGCGCCAGGAGTTCAGGCCAGCTGGTAACGTCGGTCACGTTGCTGATGATGGTCGAGAAACTGGACGAGATGGTCACAACCAAGAACAGCTGCACGAACAGGAATGCAAAGTAGTAGTTCTGAACGGTCAGCTCGACGGCCATACCCGTGGAGAGACCCTGTGTTCGACTAAGGAAGCGAAGGATCAGGGGTAGGATCGCCATTAGAATAGCCAGGAAAAGTGCAGGCAAGACACCCTGAATGGCAGAGATAAACCAACCGGGCAATGTAGAAAGCCAGGACAGCCAAGTAAACGCAGCTTCCAGGTATGACAGCTGAGAAAGCAAGCCAGTGAACGCCACGGGAATTGCCCAACCTATCACCATCCCACAGACGACGGCGATGATGCCAAACGTGCGCAGATAACGCTCCCACCACTTGATCGACATGTTGTCCCAGATAACATCGTCCGGTGAAATTTCGACGAGACGAGGGGCCATCTGCTTGGGGACGTGGTGACTGACTGCCTGACAAGCCATATGGGCGGCGACTTGATGGTTGAACTGGATAAAGGCTGAATTCATATGGGGAAACTTCTCCGGATTCTGTTGGTCAATTTCAATCTCCAGGTTCAGGCGCGCCAACTCCTTGCGACAATAGTCGATGGTGTCGACCTTCTTGCCGATGAGCCACAATGATGGCATCCAACTGAGGCCGAAAATTGGTAGCCGCATGGTATCGCGATCTTTGGGTCTGATGTATTTCTGCCATAGCGGTTCTCCAAAATCCTCGTTGTCAAAACCTTCATTGTAAGCAATGGGATACTCCTCTCCCTGTACCCGATCGCCCTCCTTGAATCCTCTTGCATTGTCGGAGGGGATCTTTTCTTTGATTGAATTGCCGCTTTCAGAGCCAGAGGCCTCCACCTCCTCGTTTTCCACAGGAGACTCAGGGGCCGTCAGGGGCAGTTCGTCAGGTTCACTGCTCGTCTTGGAATCCTTGGACAATTGGCTTTTCCAAAACGGCCTTTTTGGTCTGGACGCCGGTCGCGCTTCTGATGCACTACTCTCTGGGACGGGTTCGGCATGATCACGGGGATCCGTTGACCAGACCTGGGGCTCCATATCATCGGCGTTGTTGGCTTCATCAGTTTCAGGTTCGGAATGGTGAGCAGGAATGACTATAGCGTCGCCGGGCACAAATCCTCCTGATCGGGCCAATGTTCCGTCCAGTCCATGCTCGACTTTCTTGAAGCCCCCAATCATAGTTTTCCCCAGCTTTCCCATGCCCTGCCCGACTGCCTCTGCTGCCTCGACGGCAGGGTCCAACGGGTTTAGTCGTTTCTTTGGCCCTGGCTGTTCCGGCTTCTTTCTCGATTTAGTACGATGCAGGATCTGGTCCAGAGTGCGAGCTTGATGGGGGTTACCGGAGCTGACACCCCCATCCAGCGCCAGCGCTGAAGCCCTCCTATCGGCGTCTTTCTTCTCCTTCGTCTCCGCTGTGTTGGGGTTCTTTCCGGCTTTCTTAGCTTCAGCTCTCGCCTGTTTCAACTGAGCCTTTTTGCACTTGATAATTAGGTCGGTCTCTGCGGCCTCGAGTTTCAGAGCTAGCTCATCGCGCTGTTTCACCTTCTCGTTAAGATCGTCGAAATTCCGGTTGATCCAGATGTTTCGAATTCCGCCCGGGAAGACATCGAACAGTGATTCGAGAGCCTCTACGGAGAGCCAGCTTTCGGGGATGGCTGTAACTAGAACGGTTGTCGCGGAGGCTCGCAGACGATGCTGGGGAGATGTCAAGTAGGCTTGACGGAGACGGATGTACCCTCTGAGCTCGTCAAAGAAGACGGCGCATACATAAAAGATGGCGATGACAGCCATGACCAAATGGCCCCAGTAGCGTGATGTGTTCTCCGGTTTGACATTGCCCCAGGCAAGTTGGTCAAGACCGGTGACGTTCCATTGGCCATCCGCTGCTGTACCGTTTTTGTAGCTCGTGTCCTTGCCGTCGACTTTATTCAAAGGCAGAAGAACTGGCAGAATTAGGCATCCTAAAGGGATGAAAATCTTGAGAAGCATGCGCAGGTAGCGGAGAAAGAAGTAAGCGTCCAGGCCACATTTTTGTATGAACTCAGTGCTGGAAGTGCGAAACACGGGGCCGATCCATCGAAAGAAACCCGGCGGCGATGGTTGCGTACGCTCCCTATCCGAGACTAGATAGGTTCTTGGTTGGCTGGATACCGATCAGTCATCAGTCATGTCTCGTTCCGTTGTAGTTCCAGGCGGGCCACTTACTATATACGAGTGAGTTTGCCCTTGAGTAATATAAAGAGCAGAAATTCCACAGCAAAGACGACAATGGCAGTGGTTAGGGAAGCAACGAAAGTTCCGATAGAGATACCCTCCTTGTTCTTCCCACTGCCGCCGGCGTGTTCCAGCGCCGACCCAAGATCTGTCATAGTGAGAAAGCAGCGAGCACCACTTGGTAGCTCGAAGCAGGTGGTCGTGGTGGTGGCTTATGGATGTAAGGAGCCACCAGAAAGGTGATGAATGAAGTCGCAGTAGTTAAGAGAGTTCTAGATTCAGGGTGGAAGGAGGAAGAAAGAAAGGTGTAGACATCACGAGGGAGGGCAGTTATACAGTTGAGTAAACAGCACGTCACAGACGAGAGCGACAAAATTAGTAGTAACAGTAGCAATTAGCAGTGCTCCATAGACGCCCATGAGATGAGGGCGGAAGCGGGGAGAACCAATCAGTGCATGTAAGGGGACGAGATGAACCACTGTTGGTGAGAAGACAGCGCTAACAGAGAGCAAAGACCTGGAGAATTGTCTAAATAAAGAGACAATGACCACCAGGGGGGAAGGAATGGGGGATTAAGCGGATTAAGTCCAAGCCAAATAATGGAGATCCAGCGATGAAAGCGAAGGGGAAAAACGTGTTACAGATAAAAGAGACCAAACAATGACAACAGTGGCACCCACTTTGCAGCTCCTTTCCACCAGTCAGAGAAGCGTTTGGGGGGGAGCCCAAAGGCAGCAGGGCAGAAGCGCCATTTGATTTGGGGATGGCCGATCCTCACCGGGATGACATCAAGGCGCCTGCCGAAACTGCATGGCGCTTCCCTAGCTGGACACTTACCGTCTCACGCGCCAGGGTGGATGCTTCACCCGCTCGGGGGGTGTAGTATACCCCGTAGTTTCAGTTACAGTCTACGTAAGATATCTCAGTTGGCGCGTACTACGGCAGACTCTCTTGTGTTCATCATGAGAGTAGAATTCGTTAGAGATGAGGATAGAATGAGAATAAGGGGTTTTGTTGGCAGACATCATTCTTTCATTCTTCGTTGCTTTTCCAGTTCGGTGGTTCCTGCCTGAAAGAGGAAGGTGTGACCCTGGCCCTGGTGACCCACTGTTCGTTCCTATTTCATGATTGGCTACCAGTAGAGGAGGTGGCGGTGCAGCCAGCCCTAAAAGGTCCCAGCCCCACCAGCCACAGAGGTCATGTGGAAAATGTGGCTTTTGTGTCACGCTGTCCCAAACAGGAAACCACTTTACGCGGTGGACGCGTTGCAGCGCGTTGAGCTCGACGAAAAGAGAATTTGTTTTCCCTTTCAGGCCCACTTCGAATTTGTGCCTCAAACTCTCCATCGCAACCACAATCATCCACCCCAATCCACTTCCTACTATCTTTCCCTATCTAATTACTTCCCCCTCCCCCCTCCCTCCTCTTGTCGGTCCTTTTTTTTGGTCCATTTGTTTCGTGGACTTGTCTCTTTATAGGACCGGCTCATCATGTCAGACTCTCCAGCCTCCTCTCGTCGTAGGGGTCGTCCTGCTAGGGATTCGGCCGTCTCTTCTCCGGCTCGCTCGACTCGCTCGACTCGCTCGCAGCAACAACGCCAAACCAGCAGCCCTACCCCGCTTGGTGATGAACAATTACAGACCACCCCCCGGGCGTCGAGGCGGATTCGGGGCGAGGCGCCCGTCCCTTCCTCCTCCCCCATGTTCTTCCAATCCTCCCCCATGAAGGGGGACAGCAGCAGCGCAGAGACCCCCGATATTCGAATGGACGAACCGAGCTCCCCCGTAAGAGCTTCCTCCACAATGGACGATGGCGAAACTACGCCACGAGGAAACGGTGTAGCTGCCCTACGAGGTATGTCCGGCTTGATCTGATAAGCTTTCTTATATATGCTAACATGTAAACAGACTCATCCCCCATCCGATATGTCTCCAGCTCCAGTCCTACCCGTTCCCTAGGTCGCCAAGCAGGTCGCTCAGACATTCCCAGCAGCAGTAGTGGCTTGTTTGTCTCATCGCGCTCCAACGCCGATGGTCACCGGGGCACCTCTCGTCGCAATGACCTTCATTCGGGAGGGTTTGGATCGACCCCCAGTCGCCGCCGCAGGATCTTCGTTGACGCCAACGGCATGCCTACTGCCGATGGCGAACCGCAGTCTGATGCGACCTTCTCCAACATTCACCCGGATACCTCAGAGGCTGAGGCCTTGGGTGGCAGCTCCACCCGCGTGATTTGGGGTACCAACATTTCCATCCAAGATTCCATGTCCGCCTTCAAGAACTTCCTCTATAACTTCGCCACCAAGTATCGACTGTGGGCCGATGGAGCTACGGAAGATGAGACTCGCATCATGGGAAATACCGCAGAAAAAAGAGAGTACATCACCATGCTCAACACGATGCGTCAGCTCGGTGTCACCAATCTCAACCTCGATGCAAAGAATCTCAAGGCATACCCATCGACACAGAAGCTGTGGCATCAACTTCACGCATACCCCCAAGAAATCATTCCTCTGATGGATCAAACTGTCAAGGATGTGATGGTTGAGCTGGCAGGCAAGGAAATGCAGCGCCAGCGGGCTCATGCTCGTTCCAACCACACCAGGGATCTCAGCTCGGCTCCCGCCGTGCCCAGCTCTGATGCGCTTATGAGCGATGCTGCTCGGGCTCCTCCGGCAGAGATCCAGGACCTCGTCCAGGAAGTCGAGTCCAACGCCTACAAGGTCATGCCTTTCGGTCTTGACTCTACCGTTAACATGAGAGACCTTGATCCTGCTGGTATGTCAATAAAGCGCCTACAATGATAGTTCAGTGCTAACGTGCCTTAGATATGGACAAGTTGGTGAGCATCAAGGGTCTAGTGATCCGGGCCACGCCCATCATCCCAGACATGAAAGAAGGTGAGACTCGTGCCTCATCGTTGATGTTGCTCGACTAATATGTTCTCTAGCCTTCTTCCGCTGCCAGATTTGCAACCACAGTGTTCAGGTCGATATTGACCGTGGTCGTATTGCGGAACCCACTGTCTGTCCTCGTCAAGTCTGCCAAGCCAGAAACTCAATGCAGATTATTCACAACCGCTGTGCTTTTGCCGACAAGCAGGTAATCAAGCTGCAAGAAACCCCCGATAACATCCCTGATGGCCAGACCCCTCACTCGGTTTCCCTCTGCGTGTACGACGAACTTGTTGATGTCTGCAAGGCCGGTGACCGCGTGGAGGTAACTGGTATCTTCCGATGCAACCCGGTTCGGATCAACCCCCGCCAGCGGACACAGAAGACGCTTTTCAAGACCTACGTCGATGTTCTGCACGTCCAGAAGATCGATCGCAAGAAGATGGGTATCGATGTGTCGACCGTTGAGCAAGAGTTGTCGGAGCAAGCAGCTGGTGAGGCCGAGCAGACGCGAAAGATCACTGCCGAGGAGGAGGAGAGAATCAAGCGCACCGCCAGCCGACCCGATGTGTACGAGCTTCTCTCTCGATCCCTGGCGCCCAGTGTCTACGAGATGGATGATGTCAAGAAGGGCATTCTGCTGCAGATGTTTGGCGGCACCAACAAGACGTTCCAGAAGGGCGGTAACCCACGCTACCGTGGCGACATCAACATTCTTCTGTGCGGTGATCCATCTGTCGCCAAATCTCAGCTACTCCGATATGTTCACAAGATCGCGCCCCGCGGTGTCTACACCAGCGGCAAAGGTTCATCTGCCGTTGGTCTTACGGCCTATGTGACCCGCGATCCTGACACCAAGCAGATGGTTCTCGAGTCCGGTGCTTTGGTTCTCTCGGACGGCGGTATTTGCTGCATCGACGAATTTGATAAAATGAATGAATCGACGCGCTCCGTTCTACACGAAGTGATGGAGCAGCAAACCGTGTCCGTTGCCAAGGCAGGTATCATTACCACCTTGAACGCTCGCACCAGTATCCTTGCCTCTGCGAACCCCATCGGCAGCAGATACAACCCGAACCTCCCGGTCCCGCAGAATATTGACCTACCTCCCACCCTGCTGTCTCGATTTGACTTGGTTTATCTTATGCTCGACCGGACAGATGAACAGGAGGATCGTCGCCTGGCCAAGCACCTTGTCAACATGTACCTGGAGGACAAGCCCGACAACGCAAGCAGTGAAGAGATCTTGGTAAGTCTGAACGGATGTCACCTGTGTAACAATAGCTAACCTGCACCCTTTTCACAGCCCGTCGAGTTCCTCACGGCCTACATCACGTACGCTAAAACCAAGGTGCACCCCGTGCTTACCCCTGCTGCCGGAAAAGCGCTCTCCGATGCGTATGTTGCTATGCGCAAGCTTGGAGATGATATCCGGTCAACAGATCGCCGTATTACCGCCACTACGCGTCAGCTGGAGTCCATGATCCGACTGTCGGAAGCCCACGCACGCATGCGCCTCTCGTCAGAGGTGACGGCCGATGACGTCGAAGAAGCCGTGCGCCTCATCCGGTCGGCCATCAAGCAGGCCGCGACGGACTCCCGCACCGGTCTCATCGACATGGGCTTGCTCACCGAGGGCACCAGTGCTAGCGAGAGACGCAACCGGGAAATGATCAAGCGCGGTGTGCTTTCCGTGGTGGATGAACTGGCCGGATCAGGCGGCTCAGCTCGGTGGGCTGAAGTCTTCAGACTTCTGAACGAGCAGAGCAGCGCTCCCTTGGATAGCAACCAATTTAGCGAGGCAATCTACGCTTTGCAAAACGAAGGCATCGTGAATGTCATTGGTGAGGGTGCGCGGAGGAGCATCCGGCGCAGTGCACAAGCAATTGCCTGATCTCTCTCCTGCCTCAACGGTGGACTAGCTGATGAGATACGATGCCATGGAAATACATAATTACTGGATGGGTGCGAGTTTCATTTATTTCTTTCCCTATTTCTTCCTCACATGTCAAGGGAAGACGGTGTCTGGTGTTGGGGTCGATCGATATACGTATTGCAACAGAAGAATAACTATGAATGTATCTGTCTAACGGGCATCATCACGGGGTTTCTAGTAACCACATGCAAAGGAATATAATTGGACATGATTAGTCTCTCGAAAGTTACGGAACGACCCCCTCTAGCTTGAGATGGAATAACAGGCTAAAGTAGTACGTGCAGTTCTCGCCGCCCTTAGTTGGCTTGTAGGGCTCGTAGCAGCAGCCTCTTCTAGCTAGCTACTGGTGGGACTGCCTGAAAAGGTTTCCCACGCTTGGACTACTAGTCGGTCTTCGGTCTTAGATCCCCTAGTATGAAAAGATCGGAACTGGTGGCGGGACACCGACGGCCAGTGCAGGGTTATTAAAAGTGTCTTGAAAATACCATATAGTGCTATAGCAAGTTGCATCTGCTGTGAAATATACTGTTGCCACAGTCCCACCTGATTCTGCTGAAATACAGTATCAACTAGTAGTCATACTGGTCAATGCCTATGCCTCTATTTCAACTAGGAGATGACCGGTGGCCACTGCGTTAAACAGCAGAGACTTTTCGTACTCTTTGGAACTAAGCAATCGTTCTTCTTGTATTCCACGAGCTGAGATCTCATGAACTTGAAATCATGATGGCCTTCTTTATTTAGTACTAGTAAGATCATAGTATGGCACGATGGATCTATGGATCTTGAGAGTTTAGTCCTGCGGACTTGTATTAATATATATCGTCAGTGTCCATTCATTTGAAGACGCTGAGCCTCCTACTACCTCTCAGTCATCCTGATATGCAATTACGTACCTCAGAGAAAATGAATGAACCTACTGGAGACAGACAAGAGGCCTCCTACAGAACGTGACTACTTAGTACTGCACCGACCAAGCTTCTAGTGCAGCCCCTCACATTACACTTGACTACATTGCCAGAAATACATACTAGACACTTTCCCCAACAGATTCGGATTGTTCCGAATCATAACCTGGCCGGGGAATGCCAGAATGACTTGTTTCATACATACATACTGATTCCTTGCAAGACTTCCTGCCCGATCTCGGCAAATTATAAACAATTGCCCGGATTCAAGCTTCAAATAGACAGACAGGAAAAGGCAGGTAATTCGTTACATCGAGGAATGACACACGGGTCAGACATACTAGGCGAGAAGGGAAGCGAAAAGGCTACTAGATTCCGTGGGTATGTATACTTGGTACTAGATCCATACTTACATACAGACAGACAATGGGACCGTCCTGTTAATTAACAGCTAAAAGGAGAATTTACTAGCGTGCCGAAGAGGAGTTTCATCTTGACCTCTTTATCGTCCTTGCCGGGGCGATGAAGCCGATTGGTTGTGGGACCAGGCCCCAGTTTCTGCCGCGACGATGATCGAGGATCCAGGCCTTGATGTTCCTGCACGTTTAGCTAACGGTGGCGTTGATGGGGGGGTTGATATGTGTTACTGTTACCTTCTGGATGCATACCGGTGAGACATTGACACATACTACAGAGTACTATCTACTAGTAGTAATTGGTCTTGTGCCGGCTGGGATTGAAACCAGGGAGCCTTTTCCGGGTCCTATGGGGACTAGTACTCTAATAGATAGATCAGCGGGCAAGACGGCGAATTAAGATCGGAATGGGTGAGACGGTTTGCATGTGAGACCATCTCTTAGTCTAGCTGTTATCGACTGGTAGACTAGATGGTAAAGGAAGCACCAGACACTAGATAAATAAGGGCCCATTCAGAAGGGGGGGCTGGCTTAGCGGTACCGTTGATATGCGATTATACCCATACTAACTAACTTTACGTGCAAAAGGGTGAATTTGCAGAGCTGGGAGGTATTGGAAATTACGCGGACATATAACGTGGGATGGGAATTGGTGAAAGAGGATGGCCTCGTATCGATAGGCAGGTCACCGAGCTAGTCCCGAAGCGGGAAAGCGGTGGTGAGGTAGAGCAGCACCTGCGCAATCGAGTGGCTGAGAATGCATCAAGCAACGGCTCCCCGACGAGCTATGATTTAGAGCAGTTTTTAGGGTCCTCTCCATGCAAACTGGAGCATGTCTGTCATTCTCCCCGATTCCCCGTGGCATTGGGGCGTGTCTTGTCCTCCATTTGCACCTTCTTTTGACATGCGGTTTTACCTAGGCAAAATGATCTAGCCCAATGGTAATGGCACGGGACTGGAATCGCAGCTCGGTATTACCGGTACCAGACCAGAAAAGCAAGGGCCAATCTTTTGGCCGATAGCGTTATCGGCACGAGTCACGGGTTGACGTCGACCGGGCCTGAGGTCTCCGCCATCCTGGGACGGGCCTTTAGCAAGCATCATGAGCTTCGACCGGCTCTTGTACATAGTCGACGCTCTTGTCCGTCTCCACTGCTGGCTCCCTGCGCCTTCGTCTAGTAATTAGCATCATTTCGACCACATTAGGTCCTTTTCCTTTGCTACTCTCCTTCGAGTTTTTTTACTTTTTTTTCGGCCCCCCTCCTCTCTCAGCTTTCTTTTTTCTGCTCGCTCTCTCTTTCTCACGACCTGCTTTACCGTCAATCATGATCTTTTCCTCCGACCTCTAACCAGCTCTTCCCATTTATCCTCCAAATCGTTATCGCCCCTGACTCACACCCTACTTGCCTCCTCCTATTCCTATCCCAAGAGCTTAGTCAATTGACTTATTCACAATGAGGTGTGTAGCAAATTCCCAAACCTTCGATCTGATTGGATCGCCTAGCTGACCAGTTCGTCACTTGTCTAGGTTCGGGGAGCACCTCCGATCTTCTATGATCAAAGAGTACTTCTGGTACTACATTGCATACGAGGATCTGAAGAAGGCTCTCAAAACCGGCTATGTCACCGAACCTACGCCCGAGAACGCGAGGCCCGACCGCCAGGCCTGGTCGGAGGATGATGAGAAGCACTTCGTAACCCTGCTGGAGAGCGAATTGGACAAGGTCTTCAACTTCCAGCGAATCAAGAGCGCCGAGATTGCTCGTCGCATCCAAGCCAGCGAGACAGAAGTCAACGATGTGGTTTCCCGCTTGGATAATTCCTCCAGCTCTCGCTCAGACAGCGCCTCAAATTCGCGTTCCAGCCGGAGACCCCCTTCCGACGAAGACTTCTTGTTGCTCGAGCAGGTCTTGAGTGACATCATCGCCGACGTCCACGATCTGGCAAAGTTCACCCAACTGAACTACACAGGCTTCCAGAAAATCATCAAAAAACACGATGTACGCCTTAATTTTCATGCGCTGCCCGAAACGCAATCTCGGTACTAATTATTCTGTTTTTAGAAACAAACTGGGTGGCACCTGCGGCCAGTCTTTGCTGCACGACTGAATGCGAAGCCGTTTTTCAATGACAATTACGATGCGCTCGTCGTTAAGCTTTCGAAGCTTTATGATCTTGTCCGTACCAAAGGTAACCCTGTCAAGGGTGATTCGTCCGCCGGAGGCAGTCAGCAGAACTTTGTCCGCCAGACCACCAAGTACTGGGTTCACCCTGACAACATCACCGAGCTGAAGCTCATCATCCTTAAGGTATGTCCGATAACACCTGTCATATCCTTCAAAGTCCTTGCTGATTGGAGCAGCACCTTCCCGTGCTGGTCTTCAACCCTAGGAAAGAATTCGAGGAAAAGGATGCCGCCATCTCGTCCATCTACTACGATAACACCGATACCTGGGAGCTCTACCAAGGTCGCTTGAAGAAAACTGAGGGAGCGGAAGCCATCCGACTGCGCTGGTATGGTGGCATGGAAAGTGACCAGATCTTCGTGGAGCGGAAGACCCATCGCGAGGACTGGACGGGAGAGAAGTCTGTCAAGGCGCGTTTCTCTCTCAAGGAGAAGCACGTCAATGCCTATCTCTCCGGTCGCATGACCGTAGAGAGCATCTTCGAGAAGATGCGCCGGGAAGGTAAGAAGAGCGAAGAGGAAATCGACAACTTGGAGCAACTCGCGCGTGAAATCCAGTACCGAGTCATCACGCGAAAACTGGTCCCCGTGACCCGATCTTTCTACCACCGAACTGCCTTTCAGCTTCCCGGAGACGCCCGCGTGCGTATATCCCTAGACACGGAGTTGACGATGACCAGGGAAGACAACCTTGATGGTCGCAGCCGGGCGGGAGACAATTGGCGGCGGATGGATATTGGCGTGGATTGGCCTTTCCCCCAGCTCCCTCCAGAGGATGTGGAACGCTTTCCTTATGCCGTGTTGGAAGTCAAGCTTCAGACGCAAGCGGGCCAGGAGCCACCGCAATGGATCAGAGATTTGACGGCCAGTCACCTGGTCGAGGCGGTGCCCAAATACAGTAAATTCATCCACGGCACGGCCACCCTCTTCCCCGATCGCATCAACCTTCTTCCCTTCTGGATGCCGCAGATGGACGTCGACATTCGCAAGCCGGCTACACGCAAGTTTGGTATCCAGCGGCCTCCGGCCAGCGCACCCTTGTCCACCACTGAAACACCCGAGGATGACGAGTCAGACGAGGACGAGTCGAATGAAGCACGCTGGGCTGAAGACACGAACCGGGCTGAAGCCACGACTGCCGATCAAGAAGCCCTGTTTGCCGATACCGATGGAAATGCTCTGGATATAGAGGAGCGAATCGCCGCTCAACCGCTTCCAGGAGATGAGGATTACCCGTTATACGATTCGGATGCAGAATCCGTGGATTCGGACGAATTGGAGGAAGCGCGCCGTGTGGGTGGGACATACTACTACAAGCAGTTGACAAAGTACTACGCCCACAACGCAGGAAATGCCATGGTACACTGCTTAACAGCACTCATCCCTCGCCCCCGTCCGACCAGCATGCCGGCCCCGGAACAGAACGGAATTACCGTCATGGGCAACAAGCGCACGGTGAAGCGCTTTCAAGCTCCCAAGGGCAAACGTAAGTCAATCCCACATTTTTTTGTATTTTGACCACAAACCCCTAACAATCACAGGCATCCACGTCCCCGTCCGTGTCGAGCCGAAGGTCTACTTTGCCGCAGAACGCACCTTTCTCTCGTGGCTGGAATTTTCCATCCTCCTTGCTACAATTGCGGCTACACTGTTGAACTTTGGAGATGACTACATCACTTTCGGGTCGTCTTGGGCCTTCACCGTGCTGGCTGCGGTCGCCCTTCTATACAGTCTCATGCTGTACGTCTGGCGTGTGGACAAGATCCGCAAGCGTCGTGACGTCAAGCGCGTATACTACGAAAAATGGGGACCGACCGTCGTCGGTCTCGGACTGGTGGTTATCGTCATGGTCAACTTTGGTCTCCGGGCTCGCCAAGCCGGATTCTTGGCTAAAGATGGAGACCTTGACGACGCTCCTCACGGAGGAGAGCTGTGAGGTTTCTTCGATTTCTGGGTATAAATTGTTCCGACGAAGTTATCTATCTGAACGAGTGAATCCGTTTCGTTTCTAGGGTATCATCTTTGTATTTTCTCTGCCTTTCCTCTCATTTGAAAAGGCTGAACGAGAAAGCTGTACTGATTCTCATGGTTTGATTGTACAAAAGCTTGTGTATGATTTGTTTTTCCTTCGGTTGTTCCGTTCAGATACCAGATCCTGTCCTGCCCTGTCCTTGATGAATTGGTCTAGTTGCGAGGTGAAGAAACAGAAGAGAAGAAAGAACCAGAAATTGATTGATTGGTTGGTTGGTTGGTTGGTATAATGTTAGTATAGCGGTTGACAGACAGACAGACAGTAGTTAGTTATCAATCACTACAAGAATAAATTGATATACAAATGAAGCAGCTCCCAACATAAGCATAAGTCTTTCTGTCGTCTCATACATCATCTCGTAACTGATCTACCAACTAACCACTGCAAACAGAATATAACGACTAGTAATAACCGTCCATCCATCCTGGGACCCAGCCAGAACATGATCATAACTGACTAGTAGTAACGAGTAACAGAGAATGATCAAGGATTCAAATCCACCACCGGATTAACCGTATCCTCCAAAGCAATCGCATTAGGATTCGACCCGCCCACCCCAGAATACCGATTAATCCATCCCAGCACCTGCTGATACCAGACGAGGCTGTTTTCTTGCCCGGTGACCCTACACACACACAGCTACATCAGCATCCACAACACCCATAATCATGGGAGAAAAAAGGGGGGAAAAAAGGGTATGAACATACCAATGATCCTCATCCGGGAAATTCAAAAACCGACTGGGCACGCCCCTCTCCTGCAGCGTATTGAACAGTCCAATCCCATTCGCAACAGGTATGCGATAATCCTTGTCACTGTGGATGACGAGCTGGGGGGTGCTGTATGCGAGGACGCGGCTGGGGCCGGATGGATCCGTGTTGTGGAATGCGTCGCGCGCTTGCCAGAAGGTGCCGTTGAACTATACACGGTCAAAAACCATCATATTTGTATAGGGGTAATGGTGTGAGGGGAGAAAAGGGGGGGTTTGGTTTGGTCCACTCACCTCATGCTCAACAAACCATAACTCATCCGTCTCGACCCACGCATCGCCAATGAACGGACCATCATGGCTAACCAGCGCCTTGAACTTGCGTCCAAAGTCATCGCCCTGGATCCAGGTGATCATGAATGCGCCGAAGCTGGGACCCGCGGCGACGCCGTTGTCTGTGTCGATGAAGTCGTAGGTATCGTGCACGTATTGCCAGGCTTTGGTTAGGTCGTCGTAGGCGGCGCCGGCTGTTATTTATTTTGTTAGCTGTGTGTATAAGAGGGGAGTTTGGGGATAGGGAATGGCGTACTCCAGTTAAGTTGGATCGCGTCTGTGAGCTGCTGGCCGAACCCGGTGCTTCCTGTGGGGTTTGGCTGGACGACGACGTATCCCTGGTCAGCGAAGACCTTGGAGTGCCATTTCAGATTCCATTCATCCGCCCAGGCGTCTTCGGGACCGCCATGGATGAGGAAGGCGAGGGGGTATTTCTTGGATGAGTCGAAGTCTTGGGGGTAGGTGATCCATCCTTGGAGCTGCGGTGGGTTTAGTATGTTTGTGATGTGGTGGTGGGGGAAGGAGGGATAGACTTACGGTAGTCCAGTTGCCGTCAAAGTAGAACTCTTCAAAGTCGGAGGAACTGAGGCCGCTAAGCTCGGGGTCGATCTCGTTGGCTGAGGCCAGTGTGTTGATCACGCCCTCGTCAGGGCTGGTGGTGTAGACGCTCCAGCTTGTCCAGAAGGCGCTGGACGTGACAAGAAGGGTAGAGTTGGATAGGACGTATTGAGCCGACACGGACCCGCCGTCGGTGAAGTTCGTGGGCTTGAAGTCGTCCCCTGCATCGCCTGGGATGGCGAAAAGTCTGGTTCGTCCTAGATCTTGGCTTGCCACGACGAGGTTGTCTCCATCGACCCATGTCACGGAGCTAGGGGATCGGTCCCAGTCCTTTGCAAGGGGAGTGATAGTGTCATCGGCGATGGAGTATACGTATAGCACGTTGCGGTCCGACTCGTATGTATTAGTAGCCATTTGGAAGTACGCTATTTTGTCGCTATCAGGGGAGAACACGGGGTTGTTGGATTCTCCTTCAACTCCCTCCGGGGTTGCAGGACTATCGGGGCCGTTGACGGCAAAGGCAGTCGCAGAGCCGTCGTGTGGGACGAGATAGACATAGGCAGCCGTGTTGTTAGCGAGAGGCAGCTCTGGCGCTTTGCTCTTGAAGGTAACCCATTTGCCGTCAGGCGAGAGGTCATAGTCGTCGTTGCCTCCAAAAGGAGGGAATGGGCTTTCGGCACCCTTGACTGGGTTAACCAGGTTCGTCAATCCCCCTGAAGAGGTATATTGAACATTGCCGTCGTCGCTGGTCGAGCTTTGCAGGGTACCGGAGAATACAGCGTGGGAGGCGGTGGTCAGGTAAGTGTCCCAGTGCCGCACAAAGATGCTGTCGTAGATGCGGGCTGTACTGGGATAAGTCTCTGCGAGCTGATCATTGTATGCCGTTCCGTTGGGATAGGACTTTCCACGAAGGATGAAATGCACGTCGCCGGAATCTGTCACGGTTGATTTGATACCGAGGAAACCGGCGGAGAGAGAGGCTGCCTTGTAACTGCACCAGGTCGGATTAGCACTAGTCTGCAGAGACATGGTTAAAGGTCTGAACCAACGCATTAGCAAAGTCAGAAGAGTCCGCAATCCACAGCTCCACGCCACCGGGAACCTGCGCGTTGGTGCTGTTGATGTAGAGGAGCGTAGAACTGTCAGAGCCAAGCCAGATGATCTCCTCGATATCGCTATCATCGGTGAGAGTGGTGGTCTCGCCCGATTCGAGGTCGATCAAGCTCCACCAGGTGCTCTCAGAATGAGTGTCAAACGACCATTGGGAGGTCGAGAATAGACCGGTGTCCTTCTCGTGTCAGCAGACGACGCTTCTTTGTAAGGCTGGACCTGGCAATGGGCATACACCGGAGGGGTTTGGTATAACTTCGGTTCTCCGTGGGGCACCGATCATCTGCCTATGCAGGTAAGCTGGTTAGCTATGCACAATATGGGTCAACTCGAGATGATTGGAGATACTTACTCCGGGGTCAAGGCTGACACTGCGGAGGCCGCAGCAGCCGTGATGGACAGCCACTGAAGAGCTCCCATCCTCGAGGACTTGATCTATTTGACAGGAACAAAAAAAGGAATGACTGGTCCTGGAGCCAAGATTGGCATGACATGGCTGCCAGGGCCAATTTATGCCCAGCGGAAAGGTGCCAGTCATCTCCTGGCTGGCTGAATGTCTGGTGAGCTTCACGAGCTGCCAAATCGGGGCCAGCTTGAAGCAAGGGAGGGCCAGAGGAACAGCCCAAGCACTGCCCTGACCCTGCCAATCTACCAAAACCGACTGTTCCCCTTTCTTAGCGGCTTGCCATTCCATTGTTCATTCCCCCTTGGAGATGGCCTCGAGCAGCTGTGGCGTCCGTAAAGCCTATTTGGACGCTAGCTTTCGGGAACAATTCGACAGATGGTGAGGGTCAATGGAATCAGTTGCGACCCCGAAGAAACTTCACCGAGAAAGGGAGACTTTACCAAACAGCAAGGGAGATGTTTGCAATCTGTGCATCAGATTGAGAAAGCTTGGGGTGTATATTGCAGTTCGCACCTCAGGCTGAGACATATGCCCGCGGACAGACGGTTGTTTGACTCCAACGGAATGGACCCTTACAGAGCAGCCCCCAAAGTCTAACAATGCAAAAGTAATAGTAGAAACACTTTATTGTGGGTATCCAGAACCCAACGGCATTACATGTACATATACCTCCCAACCATGAAAGACATGCAGGAACCCCGCGCCTCAGTACTCGAAATCATCATCCACTCCTCCCTTGCCAGCATTCTCCTTCTGGACCGCTTCTTGCTTGCGGTACATCTCCGCCACGGCCCGCGTGGTCGTTGCCTGCTCGGGCTTCTTATCGTCTCGGGACTTGATGAATCGGGGAAAGCGAAGAGATACGCCCTTTCCTCCCCCAGTCGTTCCCATAAATTCATCTGCCGCTGCCTTGTATCGAGGACTGAGCGTCAGATCCGCAGTCTTGACCTCCCACACTAACCGCGGTTCGAACCATACATCGGGCTGGTCCTTGGGTACGTTTGAATGGGAGTAGAAGGGCTTGGGCCGATCAATCGTCAAAGGGGAGAGTGCATTGTAGAACTCTTCCAGGACCGCTTCCGAGAATCCTGTGCCGATGTTGCAGATCGTCTCGTATGTTTGTGTACTCGAGTTGTACGCAGCCAAAAGGAACGCACCGTAGACTGATGTGCGCTTGCCTCGGCCATGGTAGGCACCTAGTACAACAAGATCGAGAGAGTCACCAACCCCACTGAGGTAGTCCTTCTTGACCTAGTCCGTTGTCAGTAGACAGATCGTCGATTCTATCAAGTGAAACTTACCTTGAGCCAATTCCGACTTCGTTTACTAGGCTCGTAGCCACTTTCCTCCGTGTCCAACATTTTGACCATCAGACCTTCACACGATGCCTTCACACTGTCATCAAGTAAAGTCTGGATTTCATCCAGTACGTTGGTGTTGCCGTACTGAGCGAACTGGAATTCTCCTTCAGTCACCTGAAAGGATTCATGCAACAGCTCACGGCGTTCTCGTAGGGACTTCTTAACTGTAGGCTACCCTGACCGTCAGCAAAGTAGAAACGCAGCTGCTACGTACAACTTACCTCGCCATTCAGGAATAGAAGGTCAAAGGCGAATATGCAAACCTTGACCTTGACATCTTCCGCTTTGACATCCTTCCTCTTGCGAGTCATGAGTTGTTGGAATGGCAGAACCTTCTTGTTCTCCGTATCCCAAGCAACAGTCTCGCAGTCTAGTACAAAGCTTTGAACGCCCTCTTTGATCCAGCCATCAAGCTTGGCTAGAACGTCAGGGTATTTCTTCGATAGGTCTTCAGAATTACGCGAAAAGATCGCACTGAGACCCTTGGCATCTTTCTTCAAGGTGGCTGTCGCACCCGGATATTGATGGATCGAGTCAGGAGCGACGTAGTGGATTTGTGCTCGTTCCCCGTCATACTTGTACTCGCAGGTGAACTCCTTTCCTTCAAACCGGTCAAGCACTTCAGTGATGGACTTGGTGGGTTTGGCAAGCATGGGTTTGAGGGGAATACCCGGCTGCAGCTTGCAAACCTTTGGCAAGTTGGAGAGGCCATGCTCGAGGATGGCTGGTATAATCACTTCATACGCCGGCAGTTCGCTGTAAACAGTCTTCAGAATGGCCTCACCTTCGGCCAATTTCTCGGCAGAGGGAGTCTTGTGGCCCTCCATAGCGGCCTCGTGTGCGACGACAGCTTGGGCAAGGGCAACAAGCACGGTCTTTTCAGCCAGTCCAAGTCTGAGCTTTCCTTCTAAGAATCGAACAATGTACTTGGCTTCACTAGGTCCGCCTTTGTCCTTGGTGATATCAATGCCTTTGCTTCCTTTACCTGCTGTTGCTGCGTCGGCTGCCGACAGCAGCTTTTTGATACCGGAAATCTTCTTATCCTGGGAACCATGGCCCTGGACCTTGGCAATACCAAGGAGACCTTCGTGCACTCCGCGAACAGTCAATGGCTTCGGCTTGAACATAGTTGGCTGGTTAGACCGACTCTTGGCGGCCACCAAGCCAAGATCTCCGATTTCATGTTGGTCTGTCTTAATCACTGCCAGACTACGTCCGGTACTCTCGCCAATAGCCTTCATAATCAAAGACTCGCCGATGCCCAGTTCAATTCCAGCATAATCCGCGGCCAGCTTGTTGATCATAAGTTGAACAGTAGGGAGAAGATCTTGGGGTGTGAGTCGCAATACTTGGCGAAGGAACAGAGAGCAATGAGCCAAGATCACTAATCGCTTCGTGGTCATCTCGATAAGGGAAAAGGTCGTGCAGAGCGCGGCATACGGAACTGGGTCGCCAGCTTTCCAATCCGGATAAGGCTCATTTCCAGCAGCCTTCAACGTAGCCTGAGCCTTCTCAATCTTTTTCTTCTTCACCTCGGGCTTCTCTTCGTCCTCACTGGCAGACTGTGCCTCCTCTTCTGCTACTTCATCATCCGAGACGCTCAATTCTTTTTGCGGTGTTTTCTCGCCTGATGCCTTCTCGATGACAGCTGGCGGCGAGCGCTCTCTTGACTGCGACCGCTTCTTGGGGCTTTTAGGTGATGGGGATTTTCGTTTGGGAGAGGAGGCAGCTTCGTCCCCTCGGGATGTCTTGCGGCGGCGCTTGCTGACAGGCTGGACATCACTATCTTCATCCTCACTGCTGTTTTCTCTCTTCAATTTGTTCTGATCGACAGGCTCGTCTGCCTTGACAGCCTCTTGCTTCGACTTGATGGCTGAGTCTACCGTGTCAGCACCACCATTCGCGTCTCCACTAGTTCCATGTCCATTGACGGGTTCCGGATCTTGCGCCGTTTCCGATTCACTATCTTTTTTGGCGGACTTGCTCTTCTTGTTCGAAAATGATAGCGTAGTCTGTTTCTTGGGAGCTTCTTTGGGGTCTGAGTTCGAGCCGAAAAATCGCCTATTAATTGAGCCGGTATTAGCATCCAAACGAATAGGACTTACAGATGCATCCGAGGTCCAGTTACAGACGCACCCAAGAGTCAACTGGGAATCCCGAACATACCCCAGGGTAGCTTGCTTCCTGCTTTTTGAATCTGCCATTATGAGCGACGATCGCGCTGCGCTTGATCCGATGCCGCTATAGTTCCTTCTGAGCTGCTGATAGACTCCAAAATGCCTTGTTTGCGACCTAAATAATGGCGAGCCTATCTGTGACAAGGTCAAGTTGCAACTGTAGAAAGGCGACTCAAACTGCGCCGGAGCAGGTCTCCTGCAAGGGAATTGTAACAGTGGCGCAAGAAACGCGGAAGGGCGAGTAGCGGGCATAGACGTTATCTCAAACGTCCTTCATCCTAAAATGGCAGTGCAACGATTTATATGCACGAGTGTCGAGTTCGAAAAATCAGGCACCCAAGGTCGACATCTACTGCTGCCTTCACGGAGCCTTCCATGGCTTAAACGGGAACGCGACGTGACGTGACGCGAGATCCATTAAGGTCACGTGATTGAAGGTAGGAGGGAAAACCAACGCCACGTGAAGCTAAATTCAAAGGCAGAAATAGAATTGACGGACTCTCAAGACTGAATACCTGTATAGGAGTAACTCTTTCTGAAGGATCGAGTCCGATGTGATCTGCTGAACACGCAGCAAACTGGTTCAGTCAAACATTGCAAACACTTACAACACACCGCCTTGAATATCTGGCAAAATGCGGGGTGACGGGCGGTAAGAGACTATCGATAATGGCCTGGTCTGTGAGGCAGCATCGTGCATCTTCGGATTTCCAGCATTTGGCCCGAACTCGTGCACCTTCCATACCTGTGTTGCATATCAGATGGATGTTAAGGGATTGAATGCACGTCTAATTCAATAGCATCTCTAATCACGTCAATGGAGATCTCTAGACAGGAAGCTTTCATCAAGGTACGAAATGTACTCCATGGAAACAAGCTGCTTGCTAATAAATAGAAGCTTAAACCGCCATGCGTTGAGCTCAGCTCGGTGGGCCTGCGATTCCGTGGGCGACAAGCAACTCCAAATGATGTCTTTCGCGCCCTTCAGCCAGTGTACAATGTACTGGACGAGCTTGCTCGTAAAGAAGCCTTAGATGAAAAGTTGGCGGAATATGCATTCTTCCCATTATGCCATATCTTCAACGAAACCCAAAGGTCTCCAGTCAACTGCCTGGAACTTTCCGTCAAGTGTCTGCGCATCCTTGTTGAGAAAGGATGGGGAAGGCAATTATCACCACAGATGGGCAAGCAGCTCATCATTCTGCTAACTTTGATTGTGGGTGGCACGCCGAATAAATCAGGTGAAACCAGTTCATCACAGACTCGGTCACCAGAGCTCGCCATTGCGGGGTTCAACTGTCTTCTCGCTATCTTCAATGTTCTGGATGGACCTGTCGCTAAGCAGACTATCTACCATGAAGTCGGCACCGCCACTGTTGTTGATCAGATGGTCTACCTGATGCTCGAAGGTGCTGCAGATGAGGGATCAGACGAACTCTGCATATCTGCAGCCAAGGCACTTCAAGCACTTTTTCAGCGTATCACAGATCGAGTAGTGCTGGCAAGTATAATGCCACGGACAGTCTCAACTTTGACAAAAATCATAAAACCATCAACTCAGGTCCGGCGGTCGTATAAGCTTCTATCAGTCTGTTTACAGATTTTCAACCACCTGCTGAGGACAGTGCTGAACGATCAAATTGCCAAAACGTCAGAAAAATCAGCTCCTTCCCAAAATGCGGAGGACCAAATGGTGCTTGACGCATCCTGGCTCAAAGCGACTACTACACAAATCAAACTTGCTCTTGCAAATGTTACCCAAATAAGGCGGCATGATCGACCCGAAGTACAGACAGCACTCCTGGAACTCTGCCTGATGATAGTAGAAGACTGCCAGGAAACACTACAAGAGGCACTGCCCATCATTGTCGAGACTGTTGTTGTATTGTCCAACGTGGATGAAAACCAGGTGCCGAATGAGGCATTCGTTGCACTAAGACATCATGCCACCACTTATCCCGCCGTGATTGACTCTTTGAAGGACTCTCTTCATACGTGGGTCACTGCCTTCCCCAGGACCATGCAGAGCAACGACGAAACGGCGAAGCAGTGGGCGGTTAAGCAAATATCGACTGCCTTTCAGGTTTTGTCGCAGGTACAATCTGGCTCTGATCTCCTTGCAGCTAGCCTAGCGTCAGGCATTTGTGACAGTGTGGCTGCATCTCTGAACAACTCGACAAGCGCTCTTCAGCCTCTCAGCTCTGACGTTTCCAACAGCCAGACTCTGGAAGTACTTAATCAAGGGGTTAAATCAGTATCGTTTCCTCCAGTCATTCTGGAGCACAGAAGCCAGCAACAAACGCTGAATGATTTGCAATCCATGATTATCAGGCTTAACGCATCTGAGTCTGGCAATGAGATCACACGCTTGATTATCAATCGAGTCCACCATGAGAGGGGAAATGCTCTCATTGCACCTCTTTGGCTAGGTTTAACCTTCCTTAAAAGCAATACGCAGCTCTCCTCTATATTCGATGTTTTCATCTCCACGGATGAACTTGAACCCTCGGGTCAACGTTTTTCAAGATCTGGCATGATTGAAGAGTTGTACTACGTCTCATTGCCTATACTCAACGAACCATTGGTTGACGAGTCCAGGGACTGGCGGGTACAGGCACTTGCTCTAGAGGCCGTTGCTCTTCAGGCCCAGCAACTCGGAGAAGCCTTCCGCCCAGAGCTAATAGACGCGTTATATCCTGTCCTTCAATTATTGGCATCCAGCAACTCGGGTCTCCAGAAGCATGCTATGACGTGTCTCAACATTCTCACCACATCCTGCAATTATGCAGACGCCAGCACAATGATTGTCGAAAACGTCGACTATCTTGTGAACTCGGTGGCCCTAAAGCTGAACACCTTCGACGTCTCCCCATACCCGCCACAGGTTCTCCTAATGATGGTTAAGCTGTCCGGCGTGCGACTGATTCCTTACCTCGATGACCTGGTGGGTTCAATCTTCAGCATACTAGACATGTACCATGGCTATCCCAAACTTGTCGAGATGATGTTCCGGACTCTCGCCGCCATCGTCGAAGAAGGCACAAAAAGTCCCTCCTTCCTAGCAATCGACAACGGCAGAGACAGCAATGTTGACCACCACAAGAAGCCATACGAAAGACTACAGATTTCCACCCTCGTCCAGGACCTCGCCCACCGCAAAGCAAAGCGTGCCAAATTAACCGAAGACCTCGGAGACGTAGACGAAGTCATCCCACACCCGAAAAAGCCCTGGACAAGGGAATCCGACAACCCCAAGCAACAAGAACCCGATTTCAACACCACCATCGACGACCTCCTCAAGGAAGAAGACGACCCAGATGAACCACTTCCCCCACCCCGCGAAGCCGAAGACAGCGAGAAGCCCCTAAGCAAACCACACAACCTACTCCTCCACATCATTCAATCCATCCCCTCCCATCTCTCCTCCCCATCGCCATACCTCCGACGCTCCCTCCTCACCATCCTCATCGACGTGTTCCCAACCCTCGCCGCGCACGAAAACAGCTTCCTCCCATTAATCAACGACTTATGGCCCGCTGTATCCGCCCGAATCAGCTTCCCATCCTCCCTCACCACCTCCTCAACAACCACAGGCAGTTCCACCGAACTCATCAACACCAGCCTCAAACAATCCCCTACCGAATTCTCCTTCCACGAAGAAACCTTCGTCACCACAACAGCCTGCAAAGCCATCGAAACCATGTGCAAAACCGCCGGAGACTTCATGGCCTCGCGCATTGAAACCGAGTTTCCCCGCTGGGAGCGCCTCTACACTCGCGCATGGGATAAAGTCCGCCAGGACGCTGAGAAAGCAATCGAAAGACGAGCTCAGCAACAATCCCAACAAGAGACCAACTCAAACAACGCCCTTACCCTATCTACATCAATATTCACCCCCTCCCTCTCCCTCACCACAACCGGCACCCACGGCACCCGCACCTTCACCCCCCACCACGCCCTCTGGCGCACAATGGTCCCCCTATTCATCACGCTCCTCACGCACGTCCGACTTCCTTTATCCATCGGAGACAAAATCTGCGAGTTCCTGGCCGCTTGGATAGTACGGTATGCTGGACCGGAGTATTACTCCTCTCGGATGCGGTATAACAAGCCTACTCAAACAACAGAAAGTGCTGGTGCAACCACAACTTCTTCTCTAAGCGTGGAAATCGACTCAGTTGAGGATGTGATCCAAGCCATGGAGACGTGGAATGCCGATCTAACGTGGTTTATCTTCCAGGAGGAGAGGGCGGCGGTGAGGAGGGTGGTGGAGAAGAGTAAGAGGACGACGAGGATTCAGTCGCAACCTCGAGCTCCTTTGATCTGTGAGGTGGTTGAAGAAGAAGAGGAGACATTGAAAGGGTGGTCGATGGCGGGGACAAGGTTGAGGTTTGCGGAGGTGGCGTTTTAAATTGAATGAAGCTAGCTAGGTAGTTGGGTTGATGTGTGTTTGAAGTTGTGTTAGACATTGTAGGTAAACAATAGTACCACTTGTGTATGTACTCTATGATGTCTGGTTTTGGTGGACTCGTAGATGTGATGCTGATGGCTTCTGTTCGTCAAGGTAAAGTCGAAGCGACGGAGTTGATGTGGAAGTGGCGATACTTAATTATTGATTTTGGAGCAAAAGTTTACGTGGTCTACTGGGAACACAATGACAATTACTAGCACACATACGCAGAGCGATATTATTGGCAGCTACCTAAGACTAATGTTTTTTCGATGAGCTTATTTCAAACTTCTGGAACAAACAATAGGCAGAGCGAAACTGTCACATCCGAAAAGAGCGGAGATCAGTTGGAACAAACGAAACAATCACGCGACAAAAATCAAGTAGTCCCGAAAATTGTCTACTGAGCAGACAGATGACTGCGACAAGCCGAGTCGCTGATCTAGTCGCTCTCCTCCTCGCTCTCCTCCTCACTCTCGGCGTTCTCAAGCCATTCGAGGAAGGGTTCAGCAGCCTTGCGGACCTTCTTGCTGGTCTGGATGTCGACATACTTCTTGCTAGCCTTGGAACCCCACGCCTTAAGGGTCTCCTCAGAGACGAGGTCGTGCTCATAATACTTGAGCAAGACAGCGGGGACCTGGCTAATGAGCTCAGGGTGATCCTTGCCGACAAAGCGCTCGGTTCCACCGAGGAAGGCCTTCTCGTGGCGCTCGGAGGTGATCATCTTCTTCAGCAGAGCAGCACGGGAAGGAACCTGCTTGGCGATCTTCTCATCGAAGATGGTCTGAGCCAAAACAGCGACAGTCTTGTGCTTGTTCTCAATGCCGTACTCCTTGGCCTTCATGTAGATATCGACGTCACTAACAGCGGTGACACCGCCCTTCTCAGAAGCGGCGTTGAGGATCCAGCTGCCAAGCTCGTCGTAGGCAGAGGGGCCGTCAGCACCCTCGTCATCACCATCCTCGAGAACGAGGGAGCGCTTGAGATCATCGGGGAGCTCCTTGGCACGAGCCTTGACGGCCTCCTCCGACACGTCAACAGCCCATTCATCATCATCGATCTCATCAGCCTCGATGTCCTTGGCACCAGCCTTGATACGGCGAGTGAGTTCGTCATCGCTACCTGCTTCCAGGGCGACATCGCCGTTCTCCTCATCACCGTTCTCGGAGTTGTTGCTATCTCCGGGGCTGCCATCCTTGTCGCCATTCGCGGTGTCATTCTTCTCCTTGTTTCGATCACGACGGGCCTTCTTCGAGGCCTTGTCCTTCTTCCCTCCCTTGCCTTGCGCGCCGTTGCGGATGATGAAGGTGCTCAGTTTCAGACGGGAGTCGACCTCGGAGCGCTGTCCACAGGCCTTGCAGTCCAAAAAGATCTTCTCATCCTTGATGATGACATCCGTTTCCGGATTCTTACATTTCTTGCACAGCACGAACTTGGAAATAAAGCCGTCCAGATAGTCTTGAAGCTTGGGGGCATCATGGGCACCGTTGATGATCCAGCGATCATCGGTGGGCTTGGCGTTGGCCTGAGCACCCAGCTCGAAGCCAAAGTACTTGATCACGTAAGACGGAGGCCGACTGAGCGACTGAGCGACCGAGTTCAAGTTGACGACGACGGTCTTGATACCGTTGCCCTTGCCCTCAATCTTGGACTGAAGGCGCTCCATCTTGTAACGGTAGAAGGGATCGGAGACATCCCGACGAATATTGACAGTGGCCATGATGACGGTTTGTTGATTGGTGAGATCTTCAAGAGACTAAGCGAGATGGTTATATGAAGAAGAAGCGGGAGGGATTTTGGACCAGGAATATCTTGACAAAACAAGACATGCGTGGAATATTCCTAATTTTGGTGGAATGATGGCGGTTGTTGAGATCGAATTTATTTTAGTTGAGTCGAATGATGGACACAGCGAATACGGCAGCCCTTAGCTTTCAGCCACAGGACTTCGAATGTATACTACAAGGTTTCGACGTGAAGCGAAACGATTGCAGCTTGAGCGGCAGGTGGTGATCGAGATCTCTGACGCAGGACGAATACATAGACAAGTTCTCGACCGACTCTGTTTTTCAGTGGCTTTCTCCGGCAGGAAGAGAGAGAAACCAACGCGTGGTTCTTCTGTTGGAAAAAAATAGCAAGACGATCCGGTCAGCTTCGTAATACTGATGGAGGCCTGACAGCAGGGCCGGAGGGGGAAGGGAAGGGAACTAACCAGAGTGGTTTGAGCGTGAACAAAACGTGTGGGAAACCAGCAGGCGAAAGTAATAGCCTGGCGGAGAGAGCTTTCAATACGCAAGAGCGTTGCAACGCTGATGAGATGGCGATGAGAAAAACCTGAAAGGTGGACGAGTTGGAAAGTGGGTGGAAGAGGGAAAGAGGAGAAGAAGAAGAGAGAGAAAAGAAGGAAAGAAGGGAAGTGGAAGCCCAAACAAAAAAAGGAAAAGTCCGAGCCGATTTGCTAAGGCTCCCAACCAGTAAAAATCGGAAAAAACGGCGAGGGTAAAAAAAGAAGGAAAAAATGCGCGCGTCTGAGTCAGCCGAGGCATCTCCAGGCGCCACTTTCATTAAGAAAAGTCTCAGATTGTTCGACTGCAATAATACTATCCCCATATGAATTTATTGTCTCGGTCTATTTTTCTTCTCTTTGCTCGCTTCACTCGTAGTTTACCGATCCTAATTACCCTAACTGGATCTTCTCCTTCTTTGGATGAGGGTTCAGTGTCACTCTCCTTGTTCACTTGAGAAGAACCAGGTCGCACATCATTTGGCTTTGTGTCTACCAACGGCGTACAGAGATTGCTGTCCTTCTTCAGTGGAGCCCATTGGTCGTTTCGAGCCCAGTGCTTCGGGTCCGACTACCAACTAGTAGCGTGCACGGCGACTTTTCAGTGTGGTTAGAGTGTAGAGACATGCCATAACTACCTTCGAGAGTATTTCTGATGACTTCACCATGCTTATGCTTTCCGTAGGCATACAATGGGATTGTCGCTGGCTGTCCGAATCCCCAAAAGTGTACCCCTGCATTGGCCTGTCCGCTATTAAGGGCCGGATACACAGGCTTAGGCAACTCTTGGGGGTAACTTTCGGGCAGTCGGTGTTCTCTAGGTATTTTGGTCTCTACCGTGCGACCGTGTGAGCCTGCACAACCTGATCATTGGTCCAGGGTGAGAAGCATGGGCAGACGCCGGCCATCGGCGGAGCACTGTCGCCATCCGAAGTGGAGCCAGGAGTTTCAGCACAACACTCGAGTCTGCTGCATCAGTAACTTTCACAGTAGCCATGGGGTGAATTACTTAATGATGCAGCTGGCCACATAGCATTCCTTGGTGCATCTGTACGTGCTAGCTCAAGTATATTTCTTGGTGAGTTCAATGATCAGACATGTTGATTATTGAGTAAACTAGCAATTTCAGGTGTGGCCATCTCAATGGGGGATATTAATGTTTTAGCACTAGTGACTAGCTCCAACGTCTTTTCAGTCGGTGCATCAATACATCATTTATAATTCTTGTGTCATCATGATCTAGAAAGACATGGACGTAATGGACATCTTCATACTCATCGTATTGTAGAAGGAACTGAAGCGAGGGAATGGGCGAGGATGATGTCGATGGAGGCCAATGACTAACTTCGGCCGTGACCCCCACTCTTCCCAACACCATCAAGCCTCGCTTGTCTGCTGCTCGTGGGCCTCCAATATACTGTCGTGACCCTCGTGGGACTTGAACTATCAATTAGTAGAATATATACGGTAAATACTATCTTCTCTTCTACTGGACCCCGCAAAACTGGAGGTATCCAGCCTGGGTGTTGCGTCACATGGATCTAACCAGAGCCCAACCAGTTCCCACAAAATGACTCTGGATCTCTCGGTATACCTGGTCACCGACTCAACCCCGGCCATTCTCAAAGGTCGTGACCTGTTTGCTGTCGTCGAGGAAGCTGTCAAAGGAGGTGAGTTGTTCATTCTCCCGGAAAATTCCCCCCACTGACAATTGGTGTAGGTGTGACCATTGTCCAATATAGAGACAAGAAAAGTGACACGGGCGTCCAAGTAGAGACCGCCAAGAAATTGCACCAAATCACCAAGAAGTACAATGTGCCTCTGCTGATCAATGACCGTGTTGATGTCGCTCTTGCTGCTGGTGTAGAGGGTGTCCACTTGGGCCAAGATGACATGAGTATGTCTGAACCTGATTCGTCTACTCGTCGTATTCTGACTGCTCGCAGCTATTGAGGTAGCCAGGAAGCTTCTTCCCGAGAACTCTATCATCGGCATCAGTGCCTCCTCGATAGAGGAGGCGCAGAAGGCAGTTGCTGCAGGTGCCGACTACCTCGGAATCGGCACCATGTTCGCTACTCCGACGTACGAACCCGGCTAGTCTTGAAAAATGCGCATCACTGACGAGGGGTAGGAAAACCAACACCAAGTCCATCATTGGTACAGCTGGAACTCAGGCCATCCTCGAGGCTATCTCGGAGTCAGGCCGCACTGTTGGAACTGTATCTATTGGTGGAATCAACGCTTCCAATGTCCAGCGCGTTCTCTACCAGTCCCGCGCTCCCAACAAGGCTCTGGATGGCGTTGCGATCGTCAGCGCTATCATGGCTGCAGATGACCCGAAGGCGGCGGCGGCTGAATTCGTGAAGCTCGTCTCAAGCCCTCCCCCTTTCGTCCGGAGCGATGCTACTACCCCTGCTCGTGATACCTCCGCATTACTCGAACAGGTGCCTCAGGTTGTCCAGGAAGTCGTCAAGGGCCATCCGCTGGTGCACAACATGATCAACTATGTTGTGGCCAACTTTGTGGCCAACGTCGCGCTTTCAATGTATTTCTTCCCTACTGCTCCCATGCAACCAATGACCTTTGCTAACGATATATAGGGGCGCATCGCCAATTATGTCACCGTACGGAGATGAAGCCGTCGATCTCTGCCAGTTTGACGGTGCCCTGGTCATCAACATGGGCACCCTCACGAGCGAGAGCATTCCCAACTACCTGAAAGCCCAGAAAGCATACAATATGCGCGGTAACCCCGTGGTGTACGACCCCGTTGGCGCCGCAGCCACCAGCATCCGCCGTGGAGCTGTCACCCAGCTGATGTCAGGTGGATACTTTGACCTCATCAAGGGCAACGAAGGAGAGATTCGTCAGGTGTTTGGCAGCAGCGGCGTAACGCAGCGTGGTGTCGACAGCGGACCCAGCAACCTCGACAGCCACGGAAAGGCCCGACTGGCGCGTGATCTCGCCAGGAGAGAGCGTGAGTTCACTACACGAATTGACGAAGCATAACTAACCACAGTAGACAACATTGTCCTCCTCACCGGCGCCACCGACTACCTCAGCGATGGAGAGCGCGTCGTCGCGGTCGCTAACGGCCATGAGCTTCTTGGTCAAGTGACTGGCGTAGGTATATATCATCAAGTTTTATGGAATATGCTAACAAAGATCATATAGACCGGTTGTGCCGTGGGCACCGTCTCCGGTGCCTTTTTGACCACACACCCCAAGGACAAGTTCCTTGCCGTGCTCGCAGGTATCTTGATGTACGAGATTGCGGCCGAGAACGCAGCATCAGCAGACAACGTACGAGGACCGGGCAGCTTTGTGCCCGCGTTCCTGGACGAGCTGTATGCCATCCGACAGGCAGCTCTGAAAGGCGACCACAGTTGGTTTTCCGGACGGGCGAAGGTAGAAGAGATACAGTTGTGATTGGGATAAATAGCCACAACTATAGAATTGATATATAGACCTGGATAATCAAAAGCAGTTCATTGTCACCACATATCAATCAAAACCGCACGTGTATGCAAAAATCCTGCCTGATAACACAGGCACCAATTTCCCCGCACCTGACCTCCAATTCTCCTGGCTTTCCCCGCTTCTCCTATCTCATTCCCATCACAACTTACATCTCTCCCTCAAACCAACACTACTAAACCCATTAAACCACCCAACAAAGCAATCAAAATGGCCTCCCTATCGCGCGTAACCCGCATCAGTACGTCCACCATCTTATCCCCTCACTACCATAAACAAACAAGCAACCTAACTAACCAAACCACCACCGTCACCAGACAACCCAGCCCTTTTGTACGCACCTCCACCCTCCTCCACCTCCCTTCCAATCCCCCTAACCAACTCCCTAAAAAAACAACAGTATCTGCGACCTCCAAGAGAAATTCCGCCAAGCCATCTACGAATTCCCCAAAGTGTACGCCTACCTCCTTCCCTTTTCTTCCCCAGCTAAACATATCCTTAGAATAAATACCACAACCAAACTCCTCCGCGCCACGCAACCCCTCCAAATCCCAATCTACATAACAACCCAATCGCGCGCAAAACTCGGCAACACGGTCCCTGAACTCACTACATACCTAACCAACCACCCGCTTGTGCGGGCCGACCTCGACAAAACCCTCTTCTCGATGATCACGCCCGAGATGGAAGCGCTTCTCCCATCGCCTGAGAAGGGGGAGAAGGCGTTGGATGTGATAGTCGTGGGGATCGAGACGCATATCTGTGTGTTACAGACGACGATGGATCTGTTGCGGAGAGGACATCGGGTGTATGTGTGTGTGGATGGGGTGAGTAGTGTGAATAAGGAGGAGAGGGGGATTGCGGTGCAGAGGATGAGGGATGCCGGGGCGATTGTGACGACGAGTGAGAGTTTGTTGTTTGAAATGTTGGGGGATGCGGGGCATGAGGGGTTTAAGGTGGTCAGTGGGTTGGTTAGAGAGATGAAGGAGGAGACGAGGGGGGCGGTGGAGGGATTGGCGAAGATTTAATTACTATGATGTAACTAGTGTGTATATACTACGGGAGAGTGGTAGGTGTGTGTGTGGTTTAGTCAAGTCAGTATTGCGGTACGTCAATTAGACTGTCTCAAGTCACGGAAAAGATACAAGGAACACCCTAATTTGTTTCATTTAGGGGTCATTGCAGTCCGACCTGGTGGCTGTGTGGTGTTGAGCCAGCCAAATGCGGACGCCCCGCCAACTGGATTGCTAGGCCACTGCTTGCTCGTCCGTGTCCCATCCGGTGATGCTCGGGTCGACGCGGGCTGCGACGGCCCTGAGGTCGCGGCATAGTCGGTACCAGAACTACTAGGAACAGTCGTAGCTTGAGCCACTCGTGTGGAGGATTTCGTCGGCCGCAGTACTTTCATCGTACGGCCACGGGTGGCCTTGCCTGTTGCAGAAGCGTTCGGATCTGACTTGGACTCGCGTTTCCACGAGCCCCAGACTCCAGCTGCCTCCACCCGTGCTGGGCCACCCACCTGGGCATCGACTTCTGCGCCGGACTTCTGTTCCTTTTGGGCATCAATGTCCGTTGACCCCTCTTGGGTCTCCGGGCGAGCCTTTCGACTCTCCTCGGATCCCTCGAGAGACTCCCTTGCAGAGGCAGACGTGGAGGTAGCCCGGCGAGAGAGGCTGGCAGGACGCCCAATCACACCAAAGGTTGCATGGCCGTTCGTGTCCGCCTGGATATCCTCGTGGACCGAACGAGCCTTTCGCCCGCTGCGGGTGGCATCCGACATCGTGGACAATGACTTGAAAACTGAATCATCTTCGGGGCGCACCAAGGGTATGGATACCTTGTTCCTTTCATCATCAACCATGATAATCTTGTCTTGTGAAAAGAGCACGTCGGCGTTGTGGGACCGAAGGACGTCACTTCCCAGGACAATCTGGATTGCAGTGTCGCCAGACTCAACCTCGCGGACTAGAAACCGAACGGTCAACGTAGGTACTTGAGGTTCGGGGCTGCTGGACCGCGAAGAGGCTTGGTGCACACTGGCTTCGGGAAGGTAGATCGGGAGCTTGATGTACTGCACATCTCCCTCATACAAGATTTGATCTGCCAACCCAAGCATCTGAACCATCGGGTATCCCAGTGACGAGGTGTATGAGCCCGAGCAGACAGCAGCGTACAGGAGAGAATCATTGGAGAAGGTAGTTGTCAGCCAGCACCGAATGATGCATGGCACAGGGCCAAGGAGGAACAGTCCAGGCGGAGGAATAAGAGGAGAACCACCAACAGAGCTCATCATCCTGCTAGTTGTTTCAAGGCCCAGGCTGTTGGTACGAGCAGAATGGTGGGAGTGCCCGGAAGAGCTTTGCCTCCCATCTGACCGATGAGACAAGGACCGCTCCGTCAGGGGATGGCTTCCGAGACCGCTGCCGGTGCGGAGTGGCAGCTCACTACTAGATCGATTGGCCTGCCCGTAGTACCCATGGATGGCACTTTCATCAAACCTAACACTGTTTGCCCTGGAAGTGCCCCGTCGCGGCTCCTCTTCGTTGTCGAGACCCATTGTAGAGACGGCCCCGTGATGGTGTCCCTGATCGAAACCCTTGAAAGCGTCCGCGGGGGTATGGAAGACCGGCTCTACAGAAGACAGCGCATCAGCCATGCTCAAACCACATGCTTGCGAAGATCCAGAAGAAGAAACTATCACACACACCTGAGGGGATTGTGCCCCCAACGGAGCTAGGAAACGGCGACAAAGGACCCCAAACACTCCTCAGCTTTGCATCCTCGTCCCTGCGCCGTTCCAGTCTTGCGATACGCTCCGCCTGTTCAAACTGTGTGGCGTGGAGCTCCTTCAGCTCTTCGAAGACGCGCCAGATATCGTCGCGGGAGGCAAAGGGATACTGGGCATCCATATCCAGACGGAAGTAACACGAGACGCTGGATGGTGGCAACACACGAGAATGCTGAACAGAAAGAAAGGCTGTGAGGTATCCACACCAAACCAGTCCGACCAAATCCGTTTACCAAGCAACACCTTTCACTTCTCCGTAATGTCGGCTATTCTAAGCCAGCTGCTTCTGATAGCCCGCTTTGTCCTCAAATCCTCCTCCCTCGTGCTGTGTGACGGCCAAACGGCCGTCCACCCGGTTTGCTAAGAACGAGTATCCGCAAATCCGATCAAAGACATATAAAAAAATTATTGGCGGAAGTACTGTGGTAGGAAGAGCTGAGCGATCGTGCCACACAAACGACGGCGGCGGGAAGGAAGAAGCGGGAAGCGTTTATGGTATATGCGGACGGAAGTTGGTCCAAGATTGCGGGAATGCAGGATAGAGCCAGGCGACAGCGGAGTTGTTCCAAGGTGCAAGAAGTCGATTATAAAGAACCGTGGACGTAAGGTATTTCGTATGAAGCGCTGTACTCGAGGAAATGTAACGGAGTTTGCGCGATGGTCGGCTTTCGTGAAGGGGATCGAGGGAGACGAGGAATGGGCGGGAGGATTCTGTGGGGATGTTCTTTGCGAAGGAGTCGTAGGAAAAAGAATGTCGCTAAAAGAGAGGCAGAGGCAGAGGCACTTTTCTTGGTCGTGAGTAGGGTGGAGTGGAGAAATCGTCGAGAAGATAGCAGAGAGGCACAGATGGAGAGGAAAAGGACAAATGGGGGGAAAGAGAAGTTGAAAGAAGGCAGGAAGTTGCCGTCGGACCGGAATTCATGAGGGGATCGCAATCCATCGCCCGCCAGCCAACCAGCGGCCGCCATGCACTGGATCTAGACCGCTTTCATTCAAAGCCTCATTCTGCTACTATTCATTCATTGTCAATGGAGTTAAAGACAGTGGACCCAACTGGACCATTTGCTTCTGATTTCAGAATCCACAGTCAAGATCATATTATCTGACTGCAACGGTGCTCGGCTCTATCATATAATCTCACTCTTGTACCCTGGTCCACTTAGTAGGATTCCTTCTAGATGGTCAGTTCTCTATATATACTATTCACCATTTATAGCAGTATACCACATAGCAGATGAGACGGTGCTACTAGACTCAGTACTAGCACGGTCATCTCCAATGAGCCACGCTGAGCCCCTATTTCGGCGCCAACGCCCAAGAAGGGAACACATAAGGAAGCTTCTCCGGCACCTGATCCGGCCAGTTCTCCTGAATAGTCTTCATAACCTCCTCAAACACAATGCGATACCCATTAGCAGCCAAATGCAAGCCATCCGTAAACAGACTAGCAAACTTGCCATCCTCAGGCAAATCCCTCGACCCAACCAGCGGCTGACCCTCTTTCCACCCAACGGTCGACATGAACGCGCTCCAGACATCCGCAACAGGCAGACCGAACTCCGCAGCAACTTCGCGCGCAGCCTGGCCGTACTTCCTGGCATGCGCGTTGGTCCGAGTCGGATGGGGGTTCCCCTTCATGGCGTCGAACCCGGCCAATTGGTACTCGTTGATGGGGGGAGGAGTGATGATCATGATGCGGGGGTTTTGGGCCTTGGTTAAGGGGTGCTGGATGATGTTTCTGAGGTTTTGCTTGTAGGTTTCGATAGGGACGTGTTGCTCGAATCCTGGGAGACTGGCGTCGTTGGCGCCGAACCAGATGGTCTAGTGGTGCTTGTTAGTTATGAGGGTGTTGGTGAGGGTGTGTGGTAGGAGTGCTTACCATAAGTCGAACATTGGCGCGCTCTGGGGTAGGGAAGCATTTGGGGAAGGCTTTTATGGCGTGGAGAGTGTTGTATCCGCTGTGGAAAGAGTCAGAGGTTGTTGTTTTTTATTTGTTGCTTCAGTTTTGGTATTGAGGGACACACGCTAATCCACGGTTCACAACGTCCAGGCGGCGGGCGTAGGCTACAAGGTATCAGTATATGTCTGTACAAATAGGGGATTAAGGAATGATTGCCTACCATTCTGCAATGCTGCGGAGAACCCGAATCCCATGTCCTGGGCATTGGAATACTCGGTGATCGAGTCGCCGAAGAGGAAGAATTGGTCGTAAGGCGTGTAAGCGCCTTCTTCCTCGGCTGCTGCAACGGTGTTGGACATTGTGATGTATACTGGTGGCGCACTTGTCTAGCGTATAATGTCTATGGGGAGGTGAAAGAAAGATGTAAGAAAGTGAGTTTGTGAGTTGGTGAGTGCGGAGACTCTGGCGGGCGGAGGGGCTCGCAGTATAACAAAAAGTCCGATAACCGATAAACGGAGGGGCGGCGGTTGATCAGTTTCTCCACCAACGAGCTGGCCCATCCGTAGAAAGCTTCTTAAATTTGGGAGAGTAGTTTTGATATTCATATGGTACGTATTTACATTATTCTCGTAAGAGCATCATCTACAGGAAATTGTCCCCAGTGTCGGCGCCATTACAAATCTCTGCATTCCCAATTCTCCGCTGCGTTAATATTCCCGGAGCCTTTGTATTGAGCCTCGGCAGGATACACACACAATGGACGCTGGCGATATACACCCTCTTCCGGATCCTGGTCATTCACGAACTTCGTCGCAATCAACTCATTTGGACTGGTCCCATTTTCCACCCAGTTCATCATGGCAAGGACTACGTCGTGTTTTGCATCTTCATGTCCGGGTACGCTGTGGATGTTTCCATCTCTTCCAAGACTGGAGGATTGACCATCTCCTGCAATGACCCAAGGAGCATTCATCAAATCAGATGTACCTCCGCAGTGACTGGCCATGTCAGCAACTGGCCAAATAGCCCCAAGTACGGCGGTAGACTTACCCCATTCCGGGAATCAGATAGAAGCGATAGAAATCACCCGGGTTTATCCCCTTCGGACGTAAAGCATTGACGACCTGGTCATAGAAATAAATGCTCGACCCCGCAGCAATAGACCAGTCGGACCAGCCGTGATAATGGAGAAGCTTGCCTCCCTTGTTATAGAAAGGAGAGAGATCATAGTCATCTGTTGTGGCATTTCCAGGGTTCAGCTCATCCGATAACTTTATCAGTTCGGGGTCCCAATCCTCCCATGACCAGTCTTCACCCAACTGAAGCATCCATTTGACGTAGTCCGTACCCAGACTCGCGGGAGAAGAAACCAGGCCGCTCCACTTCCACTCACTGCTCAGAGTAAGATGTGGGAAAATGAATGTGTCATTTGCTTCCATCCAGTCGTTGTGGAGTTTGTACACGGTCTTGATCTGCTCTGTGTTCAGGCAAGTTGAAAGATCTCTAACGTCCTCCGCACACAGGAGAGCTTCCGGCCGGAAGATACATGCATCTGGGTTCATGACGATGCCGTCTTCCACCCCATCCTGGGGATCGCATTGGCGAATCACCTCGTTGGCCAGAAGATCGATATGTTCGTTCAACAAATGATGTGGAGAGTCTGCTGGTGAGTTCCAGATACCGACAATCATGTTCCACAATTGCAGATGGGTTGTCCACCAGGCGGGAGCTCCGGCAATCACTCCGTCGAAATCATCAGGGAACATCTCAACTTCCTTGAGACCTTGCTTTCCACCCGCGGAGCAGCCGCGATAATAGCTGTATGCGATCTTATTTCCATAGTATTGCTCCGTCACGGACTTACCATTGACGACTGCATCATGCATAGCCCTGTAGCCCCAGTTGGCGAGAGCTTCTTGGTTATGGTAAGCCCATTCGGCGCCAGAGCTCTCGTGGCCTGTATTTGTAGATACAGCGGCGAATCCATACCAGGAGGCATCGATCTATCAAAGTCATCGCTATATTAAGCAACTGTTTATAGGTTTATGTGAGCGAAGAGGACTGAACTTACAATAGATCCCCAACTAACACTTCCCGAGAAACCCCCATTTCCCGCTGTCCTGTACACACCTTAGCTCACAATCAATCTACCAGATAACCCGACGAATACATACAAGAACCTCCCATTCCAATCATCCGGCAACACCACCCCAACACTATGTTCAGTCTCCCCAGGCAATGTCAAATTCGCCTGAAAGACACAAGCACTCCTGGGCAGCGTATACGACGAGATCCTAAAGGCGCCAGAATTGTGCTCAAGCGGGGGCGTGAAGCGATCATCAGCATCATAATGAGAAGCATAAAGGAGCTTCGACCCATCTGGCAGCAATGACTTGATATCGTCGACCGAGCAATCGAATGCGCCGCCAGTGGGGCCCCGACCAGATGGCGCAAACTGGCTCAGCAATTGAGCCTTGAAGAGAAGTATAGTCTGGAGAACATCGAGGAGAAACATCTTCCAGCTGTTTATCAGCCTGAGCTCTACTCTCCAATAACGATACGGTCATAGCTCCAGCGTGGTTGCAGCTTCGCTGCCTGCTGGCTGCTTGAATTGCTTTTCGCGCTTAACCGTTCTGGTCGGGTTCGTCCGCAGGATTGCGCGTTATCCCCGACTCCACTCTCGGAGATAAGGAGCACAGCATAATGCGTAGTATAGACATCATAGTGACTTGTGGACTTGGCGGCTGAGATGGACGAAAGTAAGTTTTGAAATAATTTATCCCTGCTCGTATATTTTAAGGAAGAATGACAGGAACCTTGGGCCGGAGTAACTCTTAAGAATATGCTTTCGCGAACCGGGGGATCAACATGGGGAAGAAATGCGGGGGAGTTGTTTCAGGGACTGCAACGGCCCCTGGGGGAGATTGAGGTGATTTCATTGTTGAGTTTCATGGTTACTTCTATTTCTCTGATTTCAAATCTCGCGGAGACGGAGAATGGACCTCGGTGACCCCAGATACGAGTGTGGAGAGATTCGTGGGGTGTGGAGAGTGCGGAGGATGATCATTGCTGATGTGGTCTGGGGGATATGATCCTCGGTTCTGTTACGCTGTTGGGTTGGCAGGCACGTGTTTTTTGATGCGGCTAGCACTATCAGCCTTACAAATCAATAGAGTTGGGGGGTGTTTGCGCTGTCTTGGTGTTAATGGGTGGTGGGATATGAGGTGTGCAGGGGATTGCAGTCAATATGAAGTGAATACTATAATGCTATGGTTGGAGACATTGGTATAGTATACTAGAATATAACCATCATTTGGAATAGCTGCCACAGGTATGGCGGACACCCACATAGCACAGTAGACATATCTTTAGCTACTATAGCATACCGCTTCCTCTACTTAGTTTACAGCCCAGAATACCAACACGCAGGTCGTAGACAGACAAACGAACACCCATCGTCCCCAGACAAGCAGCTCACCAAAAGCATGCACAGCATAATCCCCCATTCTCAACCCACTTCCACATAACTTCCACCACAAATCCACACCAACATCCAGAAATACATCACAGCTACCTAACAGAACCCAACAACCCACAGCAAATCCACAAAAAGCCACCACAGCTATAATCAGTGGAGACCAGAAACAAAACACACAGTACGCCACACCCCTCGCTAACATCCCACCCGCTCAACAAGCACCACAACCCTCCCTGTCCCTCATTTCCCACAAGACCACATCAGCACGATAGACAATATCACGCCCCTCCTGTGGGAGATGGAGACCAGCCAACTGGCCTCCCCACAGCACCACGCTTCCTGGCGTGGCGTCCAACTATTGACTGTCTTGCGTACGCTGTGAGGGGACGCCACTGCGGCGCGTGGGTTTGTGGGTGGAAAACACGAGCTGAGATGGCGCTGGGCGCTTTTACGACATACTACTTAGTATTCTGGCGTGTGGGGATCTAGACTGATTTGAGATATTCTTTAATTGCTGGATGTTGGTGATTGGTTCATAGTGTACACTGTTTCGGTAGTGGGTTGGTTGGTTAGTGGTACTATGCTCAATTTTTCTGTTCTAGCTCCTTGGCTTAATATACTGTCTCGAATTGTGTACGTTGTGTATGTGCAGTCCGGAAGGAGGGTATGTAGATAGGTGGTGTGCGTGGGAGTTGTTTATTATTGGTATCATAGTGGCTGTCCTGAGGTTCGTGGCTTGAGTTTGGGTAAGTGTACGAGACATGGAGGATGATATCACACTATGGGCTACTGTTTAGGCTTGAAGAGACTAAAAGGTTTGACTGTACACAATGTGTCTTTTGAGATTTTAGATGTAGTATAACCTATCGTCGATATGCAGTTGAATGCTTTGTAAACTTCTGATGTGTCGATGTATTATGTCTAATGTTGATGCGTTACGAAACTACAGGCTACTACTAGCGTAGTTGGCCATTTGAGTGTTATAAATGGTGATATAAATATATTCAAGTCAGGTCATAAGAAATACATCCGTCGTAAATTACACGTAACTAATTATGGTTGCGCCACTTCCTTCCAAACATGTGGACGGCGATGACAGGCAAAAAGCTGACAGCAAACATCAACGCACTGGAAACACCGGAGCTGGCCGCAACACCGACGTTGTCGAACATGTCGGGGAACCTAGGGTGTCAAAGTTAGTCTATATTCTCTTTCTAGTTTTAAGATATTGAAGTGACCTACCAAAACGGACCAATAAATCCCCAAACCTGGCGAACAAATGTGATGAAAACACCAACACTACCCGAGTCTTCCGGGTAGCAATCCACAGCATAAGTGACCAGAACGGTCGTCACGAGCTGATTACCAAAGGCAGCAATGGCTGTGCCTATGATTGGTGACACAACCCAGTGGTTGGGAGCGGCCTGTTGAGTGCAGACCAGGAATACAATGGCACCGACAATAGTCAGGATCACACCCGGGTAGCTGAGCCAAAGACGGTACTCGGGATCTGGTTTGTGCTGTATTTTGTGTTCACGTCGACGCATCCAGAAGTCGGACATGGAACCTCCAATCTGCTCGCCTAGGACCGTGCCGATAATAACTCCGATGAATTGAAGACCCAACTGCTCGGCATTAAGGCCGAACTTTGTTTGTAGAAGTTGGGGCACCTCGACAGTGATCATCACACTGCCGAACAAGAACACCATGGCATACGCGCATGCGGGAATCATGACGCTAGGGCGTGCAGCCATTGTTAACGGGTGGAAGAATTCGCGGATTGTGAGTGGTGTTGGATCGATGCGGCGGAAGGATAGGTATTGAGCCTTGAAGTCGGACATGCCCTCGGTACTACCGCCAATGTAGCGTGTCTCAGGACCAAAGAATATGTATAAGATAAACTGAACGCCGTTGGTGATAGCCAGCACCCAGAAAATCCAACGGTATCCTACACGGTATGTAATG